TGCAAACAGCCGCCTAATCAATGGTTCTTCTATACCCTTGATATACATGGTTGTATCAAAAGTATCCAGGTGGACCTGGGGGTCTTGACTTCCATTATACTTTGGCAACTCGGATAAATTTAGATTCTCGGGAAAGGGCGCATCAACAATTCCATCAACAAAGGGGCTATCATTATATTGCCCCTGGTGATACTTCCTCTTTAGACTCCTATCACATCATCTGGGTTCCTTGGTTACCAGGACTGATCATGATAAAACCAAGTATTCTCAGCTCTTCTATGCACTTCGATGTCATCCCCTTGGATGTTACCTCTTCCTCCATCTCACAAGTGACCACTTCTATCATTTCTGGCCACTAGATTTGTTTCCCGTATCCTAGGTTTTTGATTATGGGTTGTCCTATTTATTGTGCCTTCAGGTCTTCCATCCCGGCTGCGATTATCAATCCACCTTCGGTTTCCTTCACCAACATGTCTTATCGGGCCGAGGTCATTTCTTCGGTCATTTCTTTGCTTAATCATCCCTCGTGGAGGGCTTGATATCCTCAAATCATTCATGACCTGAGTCATGGCCTGTCTAGGATCTGGGTTCCTATTTTGCAATAATCTTGCTTCCAGACCCCGAATATGTTGCGCATCGTCTGTGCGTTGAAGCTGGTTTCACCTCTCTATCTCCTCCATCCTTTTCAAGACTGCAGCGACAACAAGATCTGTAACTCGTTAGTCCTGATTGATTTCAGATGAGATTCATACTGCATATGGGATCTGCGCAACAAGTGATTGCAATCCCTGTACATATAGTGCATTCTGATTCATGGCTGGAGTTGAGGCCGAATCAGAATGCACATCGCTAACAGGAACAACATTATGATTGTCTGCTTGTTGATTTTCAGGGGCAAGTTGACCCTCTGGATCCTTCTGTACTACAGGGATTTGTCGTGGCTAAACATTTGGCAATGGTGGCTGTCGATAACCACTCTTAGTGGTGTGTGCCATTTTTTCTCTCTCGTGGGATTTGAATTTCTTCGTTCCCCACAGACGGTGCCAATATTCTGTCTATGTGACAGAAATGTCTAGCCTAGCGCTAGGAGATCAATATGAAATTTTGTGTTCTCTCTAGGTATCTATGAATTAGATACCTTGCGGGAAAGTGAATCACCGTACACAACTATAAGGCTTTAGCCAATGGAGTGGTGTGTGTGCATAATGATTGCATAATAGTAAAAAAAAGAGATTAGTGCATACATGTGGTCTTTACCTCCTATTTATAGAATTTACCTTAAGGTTTGAACCACCCTGGCCCTTTTCTTTAGGGCTCAATTCTCTTCTTGCACAATTATCAAATATCCACCTTTTATTGGGCCTTTTAGGCATATGAGCCTTATGTAGGTCCATAACAAAATTATTATTTGATATATATATATATATATATATATATATATATATATATATATATATAGGGAACTGAATCACTTACCACTAAAATTTTTTACCACTCTTATAACTAATTTAATCATCGTTGATTGCTGTCAATCTAACGGTTATAAGGGCGTGTTTGATGTGATGTATAAAGCCTGATAGTATAAGCTTATATTATATGTTATGACATTTTTAGTTGTTTGGTGTTACCATTGTATAGTATAAACTTATACAACATGATCCATTTATACATCAAAATAATGTATAACTTAATCACGTATAGAAGGGTAGGATTAGGCCTGATAAGGGATTGATGTATTAACCAATGCAATTCTTAAGAATTAATATATTATTTTAATATTAATATATTAAAATAAAAATAATTTTTCAATACATAAATTTTTAAAATATTTGAGATTTTTATTTTTATAAAAATTAATATATTTTTTGGACACACGGATCAACATATTTCTATAAAAATTAATACCATCTGATATATTTGGAAGAATTATATAAATTTATTATTAAAATGTATTTTTGTCAAAAATATTTCTTTTTATCCTATCTAGTATTGTATAGTGCATTACCAAACATTGGATGATATTTTTTTTTATCTTATACAATATATTTTTTTATACAATATAATACCAAACGCTAGATAGTATTAAAATTTAATCAGGTCTTATACAATCAAACCTTATACTATCAGATATTATACTATCAGGCATTATCCTATGCTATGTACCAAACATGCCATAATCTATTGAAAATTAATAACATTTATTGTGTCACATTTATTAATTAATTATTAATTCCCAATAAATTAAAATCATTATATTGACAGAAATCAACGGTAATTAAATTGATTGTAAGAGTGATAAACTTTTTTGATGGTAAGTATAGGCTTTTTGACCCTTTTGACCCTTATTAATTAATTAATAACCATTTTGTCCCTTACTCAGAACTATCTACCAATCTGCCCCTCTTTAATCGATTAACTTGAAGATTTAATCGATTAAATGGTCAAAACTGAAAAAAAAAATGGTTGACTTGAAGATTTAATCGATTAAATCTTTAAGTTAATCGATTAAATCTCTCTCTTATTTTATTTAATCGATTAAAACTTATATTTAATCGATTAAATATCACAAAAGAGCGTGAAAGTATTGATACCAACTTGTAAAATGGTAACTCTTAATAAAACGTAATGAGCTCTTATTAAATACAAAACACAATCAGCTCCTATTATTAAATATAAAACGCAATCAGCTCCTATTAAATACAAAATGCAATCAGCTCCTATTAAATACAAAACGCAATCATCTCCTATCAAATACAAAAATACATTACCTCTTGTATTAGCTGCATAAAGTAGATAACGTGACATTATTGTTCATGTTATTCAACTAATCCATTCCATTAGTACATAATAACATTCCTTAAGTCATGACATTGAGGCCTGGCCTGTGCTAATTGGACAACTTATGTGATGTTTATTGTTTTCAAAAGAACTCTGATCTCTTGCACGAAAAACAGAAAGCTTTTTTCATAAGATTCAATCAACATTAGCTGTTAAAAGCAAAGAACTTGAAAATGTTCAGAATATTATCTAAACGCGTATTCTGTGTCTTACATTTACGCCGACAGTAAGAGCGACTGGGTCAGACATGAATACCTTAATCACTGGAATGTTAAGAGCATTAAAAAAATTTATCAACTGATTGATTGCGATTTTGATGATACCTACGATTGATTGTGATTTGTAATTAATAGGAGCTGATTGCGTTTTGTATTTAATAGGAGCTGATTGCGTTTTGTATTTAATAGAAGCTGAATGCGTTTTGTATTTTTTTTGTTTTTTGTATCTTTGCATTTTGTATTTAATAATAGGAGTTGATTGTGTTTTGTATTTAATAAGAGCTGATTGCGTTTTATTAATAGTTGTCATTTTACGAGTTGGTATCAATATTTTCACGCTCATTTGAGATATTTAATCCATTAAATATAAGCTTTAATCTATTAAATAAATTAAGAGAGATTTAATCGATTAACTTAAAGATTTAATCGATTAAATCTTTAAGTCAACCATTTTTTCCAGTTTTGACCATTTGGCCCGTTTGGATGAACTTTTTTTCCTCCAAAAGCTGCTTTTTTTCTTGAAAAAAAGCACTTCTCAGTTTTAGTTCATTTGGATGTCTTCTTTTAAAAAAAGTAGAAGTCACAAAAAAAGTCAAAAACTTACTTTTTCTAGAAGCTAAAAATTTTAACTTCTAAAAAAAGCAGAAGTCAAAAGCCAAATATTTTTTTCAAAAACTACATTTTTTTATAAAAATAAAATAGCTCTAACTTTCGTAAAAAAGACTTCTAAAATAAGGAAGAGATAAAAGTTACTTTTTTCAGAAATGTAAACAAACGGGCTCGATTAAATCCTCAAGTTAATCGATTAAAGAGGAACAGATTGGTAGATAGTTCTGTGTAAGAGGCAAAATAGTTATTAATTAATTAATAAGGAGCAAAAGGGACAAATAGTCGGTAAGTATATGATGCCCCCTTATATATATATATATATATATATATATATATATTGAAACCCATAATATTTGTATCTATTTATTTTATGATATTAAAACAAAATAATTTTTGAAAGTGACTTAATTTTTATTTTATTTTTAAATATAACACATGTAGTTTTTAATTTATATTTTAATTAAATTTAAAACGGAACATATAAAATATTTACTGCAGTGAAATTAGGCGTGTTCGCGGTCTGGATTTGATCAGTTTTGGAAGCAAAAATCATTTGATCCAATCCCTTCGGTTTGATCATAGAATCATCCATTCGGTTTGGATTTTTTTTCAAATCCGATCCAATCCAATCCAATTTTTTTAGGTTTAGATTGGATCGGTTTTCGGTTTTTTGAAAATCCTAAAATTTATTTCATGATAACATCTTTTGTATATATTGGCTTTATAATTTTATTTTATTTTTAAATACAAAAACATTAGTAAACTATAATATAGTTTTTATTTTGGATAATGAGATATGAAGCTCTACAAAGATAAAATTTTGTTGATGAGATGTGACTATATTTTTTTTGCGGTTTAGTTGATGGGTTAATGAGTCTTGGGTTTAGAAATTTTTGGGTTATGATTGGGGAAAGACCCAAGTAAGAAGAAGGGAATTAATATATTAGATCGGTTGGGATTGGATCGGTTTCATCAACACATCCAGAAACCAATCCAATCCAATTAAAATTTGCGATTTTTTTCGGTTTTCGATTTTTCGATTATCAGTTTTTTGGTTGGGTTACCGCGGCTTGAATCTGTTTAGATCGGTTGATGAACACCCCAAGTGAAATAACAATTTGAGTATTTGTAAATAACTCATTTAGAATAAATTTATTTTTTAAATACACAAATAAAAACATATTTATATTAATAAATGAAAATTATTATATATTTGAAATTAAATTAACAATGATCTTTAAAATATCTTTATCTTCAACAGAAAAGATTTGTTTGTTTTTTTGTTGGTAAATAACAGAAGAGATTTTTGATTGATGCATAAGATCAGGTTTCAACAGAAAAGCCTAAGCTTTACGAGTTGACGACCACACTCAGAACCTGCGTTGCAGTTTCAGTCCTCTCTCTCTGGATGCTCTTCCGCCTCAAGCTTCTGGTACGATTTCAATTTATTTTTTCTTTTCTTATTTTTCTTATTTTCCGTATGTAATTTCATGAGCAATCGTCGCACTATTCTGTAATTTTCACATCGATTTTCCCTTGAATTCCCTTTGCATGGTTTTACCCCAAGTTTGAACTTGCTATCGTTTTTCATCTCCTATTAATGTTAATTTTTATGGGTCTTGACCAATTTGATTGATTGCTTGTCCCAGCTTAATCTGTAATCGATGAAGAGTTTTGTGTCGTATGTCGATTGGGCGTATTATCCGCCACTCTCTTCAAATTTATCAGCTTTTGCGGCACCGTTTAGTGTTAATCGATCCAATTCCTGTGACGTTTTTGTGGATTCAGCAGAATCCGCAGATGCTGTGCCCCCGATTACCTTCCCTGTTCAATCCAATTATGGGTATGATTTCTTTTCCAACCCTGTCAGAGAATTGGATTCTTCAGCGCCTTCTTCACAGCCATATGGGTATTCGGGGTTGCAAGGTTTAGATTCTTCCAGTGCCCAGTTGCCTCAATTTAACTCTCCAAGTTTGGCTTTTAATGATGCATTCTCTTATGATCAAGGCACAAAACCAAGTCTTGTTGAAGCCCAATCATACTACCCTTCGTATATTTCACCTACAATTCATGATCCCAGTTCTTCTTCGGTGGCACCTAATCATTGGTCTTCAACATCTGGCTTTCCCCCTTTGGATGGGCCTTCTCTTGGTGATTATGCTAACAAGTCACCTGAGATAGGTTTTGCTGGTCAAAGTGCTGTCTTGTGGAATCAGTTTGCAGAGTTTAACCATGGTAAAAGTAAACAGGTCGGAGTCGGGAGCAGTTTCTCTTCAAAGCAAACAAATATTAATGGTTCCGTTGTTGAAGAAAGATTGAACCCAGGTATGTGTGCCCTTATCTTGTTTTGATGCTTTTCAATTTCTTGAGCTTATTGTAGATGTGTTGTGTTGTATTGGTCACTTCATGGTTGTCCTTTAACTCAAGTGGGTTTTGATTCTTCAAGGTATGTCTGATTTTCAAATTCATTATTAAGATAATAGTTGATCAAGAGCCTAAGTGTTTTTGAAAACTTGAACAGCTTGTTCCCCCATACATTGAGAAACTCTTGAGTAATCTGAGTGTAATACACTATATCGACGAAATCAGTGTCATCATCATAATAGTATATAATATAATAAAATTTAGACAAAATCTAGGCTGTTGAGAGTATTACTTTAGAGTACGTAAGTATATTGTCTCCCATTAGGGGATGTTTTAGTTGGAGAAAGACTGCAAAATGTATTTGAAATAAGTTCATCTCTTACAACTTTTATGCCTGAAAAAGGGAACAAAGAAGAAAAAGGTAGTTGTATGCAATTTTTATTTCAGTGGGTCAAGCTTGCTCACCGTAACTCAGTAATTTACAAATGTTCCAAACTTCGAATGAAGCTTTTGCCTTTAATTGAAATGATATATTTTGAAAATAATTTGTAATATAGGCTTTCTTTCAAACCAATAAGATCAATGCTCTCTCTTTGTTTCTAATTAAACTTCATGGCAATTAGAAAATATTATTGAACAATGTGCTTAAGGGAACACTAAAGTGACGAAAAGAAATATTGTATTTGGATATTGCTAATTGGTAATCAACTTTTCATCTTTGATGTCAAAAATAAATGTGAAAAGTTATTTTATTAAATGCAGGATGTAAAGATTTGGAGGACTCTAATGGGGAGATTTCACATATGATTGCTTGGGAAAAATGCAGTATGCCTATGAGTGCAGATCACTTAGATGATAAATCTTGTCGGTGGGGAACTTTCAAACCCATTCCAGTTGAATTTTCAGGTGCATCTGCTATGCATCCCCCTTCAGTGTCTCTAGAAACTCATCACGAGACCCCTTTGAAATTAGTTGCAGATTCAGGGAACTGCCCCTTGCCATACACTGTTTCATATGACAAACACATGAGGCAGCATGATAAACCATCAAGAGTTGATGCCATATCTTCAACATCTCTAACAGGGTTAGTTACAGATTTGAACATTGGCAATATTATAGCAGATGGAGACCTTGGACACAATAACTTCTATAATACAAAGGAGGCTTATCACAGGCCTATTCCTGGATCTGCTGGCTGTTTTGATGTAAATCATCTCCGCATGCATCTAGAGAGAAATGAACTTTCCTCATCAAACAAGGCAATGGTTTCTGACAATGACGTTTCAAAGGATGCTGCGGATTATATATTTAAAGTAAGCAATGGATTTCAAAATCCTCATCCAGTGGATAATTTGAGCTTGAGACTTAGTGCTATTGATGATGTCAATTCTGCTGAGAAATCTTTGGAGGGTGGTGATAGATGTAATCCTGCTGTAGACTCACCTTGCTGGAAGGGAGCTCCTGCTTCTTACTTTTCTCATTGTGAATATTCTGAGGCTCTTCCTTTAGAATATGTGCTCAAAATTGAAGAGTGCTTTGGTTCTGTTAATCAGAAGCCTCAAAATTTCCTGTTTGGTACAGAAAATAATGGGAAAGAATCTTGTCAAAATTCAAATAACTATCAAATGCACACTCAGGAAACAGGTTCAGCAGGTTCTCCAAGGAAATTTTCTGTAACAAAGTTTGCATCAGAAGATTGCATGTCAGATGATTCAGTGAATGATGGATCTTTTCAGTCTGAGCCAAGCCGTGATTGTGGGCTTCAATATCTGGATGACATTATTGAAATAAAGGAAAAAAGTGTGCCTCCAACCAAACCAGATGATTGTGAGCCTATATCTTCTTGCACTGAGCATCAAGCTATAGAGGAAAACAAATTGATGTTTCAAAAACAGCATGCTTTATGCATAGGTGGTGCAGATGCTGGATGCAGTGTGAATAAATGCTTGGAATTTGGTACATCTTATACAGCGGAACATACCCTGTCTTTACCTTCTTCAGTAGTAGATGCACCTACTACACTTGAAAAATCAGCTGGGAAAGTTTCAAATCAAAAATTAAATGTCCAAATGCTGGTTGATACAATGCATAATTTGTCAGAGTTGCTTCTTTTTCATTGTCGTAATGGTGCCTGTGAATTGAAAGAGGGAGATTGTATTATCCTTAAAAATGTGATCAGTAATCTTAATACTTGTGCTTTTAAAAATGCTGAACAAATTACCCCTGCCCAAGAATGTCTTTTCCATCAGCCAGAAACTTCTGTGTGTGCTGGAGAATCATGTGAGCTTCAACAGGTATGTTCTTATTTCTTCTATAGAAAACTCTTTTTTATGTTTTTATATGATTTGTTGAAATTACAAATTTATATATTTCATCTGCCTCATTGATTGATGATAACAATCTAGCAGGAGCTGAACTTCATTATTTAGCACATGTAGAATAAAAAACAATAAGTTGCAAATTGACTTAGCCAACTTTGCTGGCCATCATAGTAAATTAACCCTTTTCCATATGATAATAACTTCTGTATCAAATCAAGCAATTACTGGATATACTTTATATTCCTCTCATACAGTATTAACCTTCGAGTTAAAAATATGCGAGGTTACAGTAAATTCTAGTTATTTGGCCTTATAAACATGTACTTACCAGTTTCCACGTGATTACAATGGCTTTAGTGTGTTTTCTATGACGTGTTTTGGTTAGAAATGGATTGCAACATAGTTCAAATAGTGCTTACGTGGTATGTAAAATACTCAAAGGATTATTAGCAAGGAAGATAAAAGAATGCTTTTGATACAATGCTAAGCTTGCTGGAATTGGGTGGAGGATAGCATTGGTTTCACCATTTTATAGGTGCTGCCAGTTGAAGACAGATTGTGAATCAATTTTATTGCTATCTAGTTCAGTTCAATTTTCCATTATATTTGTGTTTGTGTCATGGATCTTAGTTGGAACCCTATATGTTAAGAATCCACGTGAATTTAAGTTTCTATGCAGCTTGCTTGATGCCGCCAAAAGTCTCTGAGCAAGAAATCTAGCCTATATATTGTATTACTAGATGCAACCTCGTCCTTTGACTCTAATTAAACACAGGAATAAATCTCAAGAAGGAAACAGATAACAAAAATTAATACTCATTTATATTGCATAAAATGCAATGGTGGAAAAGAGATATATGTAGTTATAAATACTGCTTGTAATAACTTTTGTAATTCTTACGAGGTTTGGATCATATTATTTACCCATTTTTTTAGAAGGAAAAGGATATGCTTCTTGTTTTTTTTTTGGTTTCATGATGTTAAAGGAGGTGGTATTTTGCTTATTTTATATGCTGATTAAATTTAAGCCCTGCATTACGTCGTATGTTCTCCAAATGTATTCTCAGGATGCAAGTTTCAAGTGGCCCCAATTAACTAAGGTAGGACCAGAGAGCTCTAAGGTTGAGCTTGAGACTCCACATGTTCAAGAGGCAAACCTGCATTTCAGATCTGAAAAACAACATTTGAAGCTTTCAGATTCCATATCCCCTAGCGGTGATGCTGAATTGACAAAAGCAGATAACATGACTAAGGTGCTTTAATATCTCATGCAGTGTTATTTCTCTCTATTTACTAGAAGGTTTCGCTTTTTGTCATGTCACATGACAAGATCATTTTTCTGCACACACAAATCAAGTGTGGGTCCCATGCTTAAAAAAAAAAAAGTCAAACCAAAATTAAGATACGGCGCCGTATCCTCAAGATACGTTGCCGGATCCTTGTTGCAGGAATGAACAGTGTCATTCCTGCAACATGATTCTTATATTTCCCTTACTAGAAAGGGGGCAAATTACAGTGGAAGGGAAAAAAATTAATTATGTTTGGGCTACTTTTGATTTGTAGGCTCTAAAGAGGATTCTTAGTGAGAATTTCCAAGATGATGAAGGAGCAGATTCTCAGGCTTTACTATATAAGAATCTATGGCTTGAGGCTGAAGCTGCTTTATGTTCTGTCTCTTACAGAGCTCGCTATAATCAAATGAAGATAGAAATGGAGAAACACTCATCCAAGCAAAGAGGTTGACATTTTTCTTTATCTCAATATGACTCATTGCTATTAATATCCTAGATATATAACCTGGAAATTTAGTTCTTCAATTTTTGTTTTAAGCTAATGTTCTGCTTTTATATATTTTATATATTGCTGTAGATATCGAGGGGCAATCAAAACCAGAGGTTGTTCCTAGTTTAAGCGGAAGTCAGATTTCTGCAACCAAAGTGCACAATTATCCAAACCTTGATTCCTCTGCTCCGGATTTTCCTGTTGAACCAAATGTTTTGAAATTTTCTGCTGATACGAACAAGCCTAATGCATGGACACCTGAAGGAAAGGGTAGTCAAGACCCGGATAGTTTCATCCAGAATTATACTGTTTCTGGCACAAACAAGGTGGCTGGAAATGATGTGGCTTCTGTTATGGCCAAATTCCATGTTCTCAAAGCCCGGATTGACAAGTCATGCATTGATGATGCTGCCAATATGGAGGAACCATCAGACATAGCAGGCAAGTTGGCACCTAGTGGGAGAGATAATCAAAACCAAGTTAATTTCTGCCAGGATTCTCCTATTCTTGGAAAAACCAAGGCTGATTCGGATTACGAGGCATCTGTTTTGGCTAGATTTCATATTCTTAAGTCCCGGGTTGAAGATTCAAGCTCTATATCTTCTGTAGGAGATCTGTTAGATGGAGTTGGATTTGCTGGAAAAGGAATGGACAACACAATAATTACAAAAAATGCATCAGAGGGCAAAAGTTTGGATGTTGATGTTAATTCTTCTGTGATGCATCTCAGTTCCTACCTTGCTGTGGACAAGTCCATCCCAAAGGAGTTTCATCTGGATTTGGAGGACATTCAAGAAACTCAACCTTGCGGAACCTATGAGTTTCAGCTTCCTAATTATTACTCTGATGGCTTAGCATCAGATTGGGAACACGTGGAATAGAGGAGCTTTTGGGGCTGATTTTGAAACCTTTAGACTTTAATGAATGTTTTATGGATCAGACTTCCTTATTATTATCTTTATCAGACATAATATTGCAGATTTTGGTCTTTAAGTCTTTTGCCGTGTCTGTCTGTATATAACTCTGTCAGTAAATTGAAACCTTTATGTTGTGTGTGCTTATTTGCTCTTGTTGATAATATTACAAGTGATAAAAAGGTTAAGTCATTAAATTGCCCCGGATCAATTTGTTTAGTCGTTTCAAATTAATCATGCATTCGGGCCTAGGGATTTTTTTATTGTGCTCCGGTCAAAATGAAAAAAAAAAAAAAAAAATGGTTTCATTTAAATTCTTTCATTTTTTTTATAATTCTCTTTCAATTTCTTTTCTTTTTTTTTTTTAGAAGGGAACATGATGTTATCGGAGCATCAAAAAAGCACTCCGGGTCTAGATGCATGTTTTTTTAAAAGAAAACATTGACATTGTTTCCTGTACCAGTTACTAATAGAGCGAGAGTATATGGAGAATGACTGAATGAGGACTTACTTGATGCTAAATTTTTCCATTGACTAGTTACTTTTCTTTTCTTTTTTCCCATATAATGGTGGCACTCAGATTCCTAGTAGTTTATTCACTGTTACTTTTGTAAATGTTATACATAGCTAATTACTCGTGAATGTATAAAATACATGGTTCTTCCTTATACTCCTATATCGTCTGGCATGAGCTTTTGTTTTTGCCAAAAACAAAACATTCGATGCTCGGCAATGTCATGTTTTTCATCCGTGACCTAATGTACAATAATGCAATGTTTAAAACACATACCATGTTTGTGCATTAGGTATGCTTGTGTTTTAGGTAGTGAGTTTTTGTTGGCAGAATTGTTTTTAAGTATTCCAAAGTATTTTCATTATGTAACATTCGCCCGAATTTTGTGAATAGTTTTTTCTGTGAAAGTTGTTGGCTAAACTAAACAATTTTAGATTTTGTAAATATTAGGGAAAAATGTTTCTGGAGATAAGTTATCTGTATTTTTTTCAGAACGACGTCGTTTTAGTATTGAAATCTTAAAAAATTATAAATATAAAGACTATTATAACTCTGAAATAAATTAAAATTACAAAAACACTATGATTTCTGCCCAAAATGATGTCGTATTGAACTTACTGCGAATAAGTTATCGACAGTAAAGGGCCGACCCAGTTCAATACCCACTGCGTAAGTGTCTGGGGAAGGGAAACTCGAGTCAAGCCTTACCCCTGCTTTGCTCAGCTGTAAAACTCGAGTCAGTGGGGAAGGCAGAAAAAGCGAACCCTATTCCTATATATCTTTGCTACCTAGTCCGGCGGAATTTTGTGAAACATGCTTGCTTTTTTAATTTTTGGTTGTCCAAATTGTATTCTGAAAATGAAAATAAGGACTCGTTATCTCAAAATAGAGAAGAGAAAGAGAAAATTATATAATCCAATAAGCCTACACGAGCAGAGCAATGAATGAAGGCATCTAATGCCATTCCAAACAACGACAGTCCTTTAAGGTTTAGGTTTCCATTTAGATCATCACTCTTTCACAATCAATGTCACACCTAATCCCACTAAGAAACACTAATTCATGATAAAGAATAGATTTGAGCATAAAACTAGTCTTAAAATGTGACTTTATCAAGTTGTCTCAGATATTAAATGCTTAATCTGAAAATCATTTCCCTATTGTATGCTTTCTTTCTAGAAATTTAACGGAGTTGCTGTGACAACTAACATGTAGACTAAGCATGTACATCATCTACCACATTTTTTTTTGTCTATTATATTCAGTAATGTATTCAACTTTAACAACTCATTTGGATTTTCGTGCACTCAAGTCAACTAAAATCGATTCACGCACGTATTCCTCATCCTATCACAGTATGTAATCTTGAGAAGTGGCTTCATCATAACACTAGAATAATAGTGTGATTTAACTTGTTCTACTTGTCCTTTCTTTTAGCTCCCCAATCACTTACCCTTCTTGACCATCAAATAATAATGAAAATCCAGCCCATTGCCTTGTAACATGGCATTAAGGACAGAATAATCCCCTTAATCATTGCCTTTCCAAGTATAAATAGGCTATAATTATGTCATAAGATTACTCAGAAGAAAGACAATCTTTCAGATCAGAAAATGAATCCAAAAAAACTTAGTGGTGTAATTATAGTTTTGGTCATATATTTGTTGAATCAAAATGCTCATTCTCAGCTGCAGGTTGGGTTTTACACCTATTCATGTTTCATGGCTGAGTTCATTGTAAAGGAAGAGGTCAGAAAAAGTATTACTAAGGATCCTGGACTTGCTGCAGGGCTTATAAGAATGCATTTTCATGATTGCTTTATTAGAGTAAGTATTATATGAAGGCAGTATTTATTTATCCATTATCCTTAATGAGAAGTAAAATTTAGGTCCTCTTTCTTTAGTTATCCACCCAACTTCCTCAAAGTTAACTATCACTGCACCTTGCACACAATGCTAGGTAGTTGTTCACATTTGGTATGACTACTTAAAATAGTGATCATCGTTGGTATCATCGTAGGAAAAGACCAACTCTGATGCCATTAACTTTAACCACATTGTTAACTGTAGGGGTGTGATGCATCGGTACTTCTTGATTCCACTCCCTCAAACACCGCAGAGAAAGATTCACCAGCCAATAAACCAAGTCTCCGAGGGTATGAAGTCATTGATAATGCCAAGGCTAGACTTGAGGCAGCATGCAAAGGAATTGTTTCATGTGCTGACATAGTTGCATTTGCAGCAAGGGATAGCTTGGAGTTAGTAAGTGTGCCTATTTTGCTCTAGAAACATTTGAAGGTTAAGTTTATTTCAAGAAAATGACCCTTTATCATTATTGGGCTTCATGCAGGTTGGAGGACTAGGCTATGATGTTCCTGCAGGAAGAAGAGATGGTAGAATATCACTAGCTTCAGATACAAGAACAGACTTGCCTCCTCCAACTTTCAATGTTAACCAACTCACTCAACTCTTTGCAAAGAAGGGGTTAACACAAGAAGAAATGGTCACTCTGTCTGGTAAGAGCTTCAATATAACTCTATTTGATGGTTTGCCTTTAGTTTAAATATTTGAATGAAATATACTTTTGTGCATGCAGGAGCACACACCGTTGGCCGTTCTCATTGCTCAGCTTTCAGCAACAGATTGTACAATTTCAGCAGTACTTCAATCCAGGATCCAAGTTTAGATCCCTCATTTGCAGCACTGTTGAAGAAGCGATGTCCACAAGGCAGCACAAACCAAAACTTGGTGGTTCCAATGGACCCTTCAAGCCCTGGAGTTGCAGATGTAGGGTACTATATTAATATCTTGGCAAACCGAGGCCTGTTCACATCTGACCAGGCTCTCTTGACTAACATGGAAACAGCCAGCCAAGTGAATCAAAATGCTAGGAATTCCTATCTATGGGCAAGCAAATTTGCAGATGCAATGGTGAAGATGGGTCAAATTAGTGCCTTAACAAGTGATGCAGGAGAGATTAGAACAAATTGCAGGGTGGTCAATAGCTAGCAATAGTAGTGAAGGATTGAAGTACCTGCAGCATTAAAGATTTATAAATTATATGGCATGTTTCGTTAAGTTTTTCCTGCTTAATTACAAAACAAGCAACTTTGCTTTGGTTTTTCTTTTCTTTTCGGGTAATTGGAATTCATGTGTCGGTGAATCCTAGTCCTGCTTATTCTTGAAATAGACAGTTTGTCATATGCAACAAGTAAGAATTTGCTCACGTTATCCTTATCCATTTCCATTTCCATAATTGCAAAAGATCATCAAATCACAATGCATTGCTGTCAACAACCAACACACTAGTAAACTATACGTTAAGGTTCATCCATACATACATTCCAAAAGAATTAACCTTATCGTTTTAATTAGTACAAATATCATCTTATATTTTAAAATTAATTCAATTTAATTCCATCATCAATCTTACAAAAGAGTACAAGAGTTCCTAACCCGATGGCCTCCCATTTTAGAAAGGGCCAGGGACATGAGCCTTTAAGTCGCAGGTATCGATCCAATAAACCAACTCAGGACATGAATTCGAGCAGGCTAAATCTCTTATTGCACAAGGAAATGAATTTAACTTGTTTCAAAAAGAAAAGTGTGGTGAGATGTTATGATGCGCAAACACCCCCCAGTGCACAGAAACTTCCCTGAGATCATTTCTTAGACTCGAATGTACGATCCTGCTATCACAAAGAAACATCATTTCCACTGCTCCTAGACTCATCCTCAAAAGTATGATATTATAATGCTGACTCAAAAATTAATTAAAAAAATAATAACTTCACAGTTTGTTATGTAAATTCTTCGTGTAATACAATCTCATTTTCCAATCACCGCAATTTTCTATTTAAAATATAACCCTCACATTTCATGAGACAAAAAAATAGAGCTCATAGAAGGCTATTATGAGTAAAAACAACAAAAACAATATGATCACTGATCATCATGTCGTATCACAAATTTTAGAGAGCAACAAAATTATAAGGTAAACCCAACCATATGGACCGAGATATGGTTTGACTACAATAACTTCAGGATGGCACTAGTTCCAAAATCATCCACAAAAAACAAATACTAATAGAACGTAAAGCATAATTAAGTAGTGAGCTCCATGATGGCACCAACAATGTCCCCGTCGTGAGTCTTGAGAGCCTTGACGGCCTTGCTCCTTGACACTCCTGCCTGGGTCATGACCAAATCAATGTCATGGAGCTCAACCCCGGTTTCATCAACCTCCTCTTCTTCTTCATCAGGCTGTGCTCCTGCAGCCTCAGCATCTTGATCTGGTTTTGTCATTACAGATCCCATATCTGGCATCCTGAACTGCTGAGCAGCTTGGTTCTGCAACTGAGAGCTCAAGTCCTCTATTTTTGCCTCCCCAAATATGATGTAGGTCTCCGAATTTGGACTCTTGAAGACATCAGGTTTTGAGATGTAAAAAAGAATCTAAGACATAAAATAATATGATTAGAAGCCATCCATCTTTCGGATAGATCACAGAAAGAACAATACATATAATGACTAACATTTTTAGTTCTCTTGATTGTTACCCTACTAACGCCAGTAACAGGTTTTAGTCCCAACTTCAACATTGCTTTTCGACTCTTCTTCTCACTTCTGCTCTGCTTTGAACCATCAGTGGCACCTGCATCTCAAAGGATAATAAAACAGGTCAACGGATAACAAAGGGAAGGAGTACATTAATATGGTGTTGCAATTTAAGAAATGTAATAAAAAGCAGATGTACATTGTATTTTCTCTAGATAAAGCTTTATAACTGTAGTCCTATAATTTGTAACATGGTTATTGATTTGCCAACATTGGCACTACAGAGCACATTTTTTTTTCTCATTAAAATAAAAAACTTAAAATTATATAATAATCATAAGCATAAAAATATTACTGAATAGATTTAAGACGTCAAGTTAATTGTCAATAAAAAGAATCTCTACCATTATAATGTTGGTTCTCAAAAGTTACAATTTTCAGGTATAAATTGAACAATTATGTTATCAAGCATAAACATTCTGTGATTCTTCTACAGTAATTTTAACCTTGACAACAGTATAATCTAGCTCATATCCACTTAGCAAGCCTGAGCAAACAAAATCCAATCAAACCTATTGGAGAATATACAAGTGCTGCCTTGTAACCTCTATGTTGAGTTGTAATGTAATGCAATTATGCGAGTGCTGAGTTGTAATTCAGTTGTGTTAGCTTAGGATGCTGTTAATCTGTTAGGAAATTAATTACAGTGGTTACGGAAAGTGTACACCATATGTGCAAGTATATATACATAGAACAAAGTAACAAGAGAAAATGAACTTTCTCAGATTCTCCCAAATCCCATTTCTTCTCTCTGAACTCTCTCTCTCTTCTTTCATTTCTGGTTTTCCTCCTTTGCTAAAACTCCTTCACAACCTAGTGACGACAAATTAAAAAAACGTGTCACGCTCTCATCATTGAGGGGGTAATACTGGGAGGATCAAATGTAACAACCTTACCATTATGGCAAGGCTCACCCTCTTTTTTTTTCATACTATACCATCTACAGAAAATCAATGGACTTCAAATCAAATTCCACGATCTCTGAGACAACCAATGTGAATAAAGGGCCAAAGGGCACTTAGTTGTTTAAAGAAGCAGATGGTTGCTCCACTATGATTAAGCAAACTTATTTATCAATTAGTTTAAAAGAAAAAAAAAATTACCAAAACCTAAGTAAATAAAATCCATTAACCATGTTATAAAAAAAAAAAAAAAAATCCATTAACCAATGTTCATATTGATAGGAACAAAACAACATTTCCGCACAAAAATATCATAAACAAAAGAAAACGTCGTGAAAATGAAAATAACGATACGAGGAAGAAAAGCTGAGGACCTTGATCGCCGTCTTCCTTGTCATCGTCGTCGTCTTCGTCGTCTTCATCGTCATCGGCTTCGTCTTTCTCATCATCGTCCTCAACAACGGGAGCGTCGTCTTCCTGAAAAAAAAAAAAAAAAAAAAGACGAAAGAATGAAATGAGATACAAAACCAAAGAAGAAAATAGAAATTGAATCCAATGGAAATGGGGCAACCTGCGGCTGAGGTTTCTTCTTGAGGGTTGTCTCCTCGGTGGAGGGAACTTGTAGATCGGCACCGGCCTCGGCAGCTGCGTCAATAACGGGACCTGGAGACATGGTTTTTCAGTTTACACACAACACTCTAATACAGATACACAGGGACAACACTGTTTTGCTACTCCTTCATTATTCATGTCAAGGGTTTTCAGATTCATTGGGCCATCACATCTTTGGGCCCAGTTTACCATTCCTTAGTCTTACTCCATTCTTAGGTTCATTCAGTGTTTATATAAGAAGATTTTTACCAACATTTAATATGGGGAATAGTTAATAACGGAAATATGACTATTTTCTTATTTTATTTCTAATTGTATTTTCCGTTTCTTAATTATTTCATCTCATTCTAATATCTAGAAAGTGGTTATTTTAAAATGGATTTGTTTTTTGAATTTAGCAAGTTGAATATATTCATTCTCAAAATTTAATGAATTATACTTAAGATTTATTGTAAATTAAATCAATAAATAATTTTGAATTTGCGAGCCAAAGGATGTTGTTTTGGAAGATTAAAACACATTCTTGATTCTACTAAAAGAACAAGATTAGAACACATTTTACGTGGATAATTGTGTAAAAAATTATGGGATGAATCAAAGGTTATATTCTTTATTGAAAAGCATCAATTGCACCAAAACCTCCTTAAGGTATCGGATTAATTATTTGTATTTCTAGTATCTCTCTAACACACTCCCTAGCAAGAGCTTTTTAGACTTGAAGTATGAATATGACACACGTCCATCTTTCTAGTCTACTTTATTATTTTATGGTTTTTTTTTTTAATTTCATCTGAAAGTGGAGTGATAAGCTGGTGATCTCATAGTCACTGAACTCTGATACCATGATAAACATCATTTTTTTTTTGTTGATAAAATGGAGGGCCTAGCCGAGCAAAACTATATTAATAACTTTTGCATGCTCAAAGAAGCATGCTCCACCAGAAGGTTTGTACAAAAAGCATTCCAAGCGGATAAAATGCTAACAGGGGGAGAGGAAAACAACAACATCTCAATCCCCTTCTATTTAAAACCTAACTTTGCTAAACTATCTGCAACATCATTCATTTCCCTAAGAACAAAACTCCACAGGATTTGAATAAAACTATTAGCACTAATCTTAATTTCATTACAAATGGAATCAAAACAACCATGATCAGCTTGATCTTCCACGCACTGGAGTGCTTCTTTGCTGTCACAGCAAAGCCATATTCTCTTAAAATTTTTGGCACTTGCAAGTTTCAAAACATGCAGAATTCCCTTAAGTTCTGCTTCTAGAGGAGAACAAACTCCAATTTTCAAAGAAAAACCTCCCAGCCACTCACCATTGTGTGAAACTAAGAAGCCACCACAGACACCTATACTTGAATGGAAATTGACAGCTCCATCAACATAAGTTCTGGTCACATCCTGCAAATCAACTGAATCAGTGCCAGTGGGAATAGCTGGTGAGGAAAGACAGGACCAAAAGGGTCAGTATTGCTGAATTTCTTCATGTCAGTAAGAAAGGTAAGAATTCTGTAAACTGGATCAAGAGGCCAAGTGAAAAGATCCTCATGGGCAGAGGCATTTCTCCACTGCCACAAAAACCAGCAAGTAATGAAAAAGACTTCTTTCCAAGATGACCAGAGCTTAGATGAGAAGGGTTTATCCAGGTTCAGTCTAAACCACTATAGGCCACCTGTAGACATGAAATTAATGAGAATTGATCCATCAAACCAAGTTTCCCAAATCACTCTTGCAGCTTTACAATCTCTGAGGGTATGCATAAGGGTCTCCTCATCAGTGTGATAGATAGGATAGCTGATCTCCCCTCCACCCCAATCACTGGTTCTACTTCTAACAGGCAATTTGTTCAAACAAGCTAACCAAATGAAAACAGCAACCCTGTAAGGCCCTTTCCATTTCCAGATGGATAGCCAGATTCTATCTTTCTCAACATCACAGCTCATCATCTGATCATATGCAGACTTCACAAGAGATTTCTCAGGCCTTCTATTTTTCCAAAACAGCCTATCACCAGGTTTGCTACAGCTAGGAGGAGGAAAACTTTTAATCTCAGATAAAACAGCAATATCAAGAAACATCTTCAAATATACCCAATTCCACTCCCCTGTACTTTGGTTTACAAGTTCAAAAGATTTAAGTTCTAAGTCAGAGATAGGTGGTTTAGGAGAAGCCAACTCAAATAGGCTATTATTCCCAATTCCCCACCTATCCATCCAAAATAAAATATCCTTGCCATTGTCAAGCTCCCATTCTAAATGAGGATCCAGCTTCTCTCTAGCAGCACAAACACTCTTCCAAAGAGAAGAATCATTCCTTCTAGCAATCAGATTATGCTTAGGGTTCTGTTTTCTGCCATATTTGCCAAGCAAGACCTTGGCCCATAAACTCTCCTGATCATTGATTAACTGCCAAGCTACTTTCTACATGAAGGCTACATTCTGAACTCCCATATTGATAATACCCAGCCCCCCACACTCCTTAGGACAACACAGCTGGTCCCAGGCTACATAGTGAGCTCTCCTCTTACTCTCAGAATCACCCCAAATGAAACTATGTTGCATCTTCTCTATATCCTGACAGACATGAACAGGTAAGATGTTATTCTGCATCTGGTAACAAGGAATGGCCAATATTACACTCTTAGCTAGAGTAATTCTGCCTGCTAGAGATAAACATTTGGCTTCCAATCTTGTAAACGATTTTGGACTCTACTAATCACATCAGCATAGTGATTTCTCCCAGCTCTTCCATGTCTCATCAACACTCCCAAATACCTGCCAAGATTGTTCACCTTCTTAAAGCCACTAGCCTTAGAGATAAGTTCTACAGCCTCCTGAGGAGTATTTTTAGAGAAAAAAGTACAAGTTTTCTCAATACTCACACATTGACCTAACATGCTGGAAAACATCTTTAAACAATTTAAGATGTTATTCAGTTGACTGAGAGAAGCTTCAGTAAATAATATCACATCATCTGCAAATAAAAGGTGAGATACATAAGGACCTGATTTGCCAGCCTTGATTGCAATCCAGTTCTTCCTTTTCACTTCATCCTGAATTAGGTGGGTGAGTTTTTCCATGCATAGTACAAAAAGGTGTGGGGATAGAAGATCCCCTTGCCCTATTCCCCTTTGAGGCTAAAATCCCTGAGTTCTAGAACCATTCCAGAGAATCTCAAAATACGAGCTAGTAACACATCCCATGATAGCTCTAATCAGGTCTTCAGGAAGTCTCAAATCTAAAAGAATAGCTCTAATGAAACTCCAATTGAGCTTATCATAAGCTTTCTCTAAGTCTATTTTAATAGGAAAAAAATTTTTCCTCCCTTTCATCCTGTGCATTAAATGTATGAGTTCTTGAGCAATAATAATGTTGTCCTGGATGTGCCTTTTAGGAACAAAACTGGTCTGGTTTGGGGAAATGACATTACCCAGAAAAGGCTTGATTTTATTCACCAGGATCTTGCTTAGCCCTTTATAGACAGAATTGCATAAAGCAATAGGCCTGAACTGCCTCATCAAAGAAGGCCTATCAACTTTAGGGATAAGGGCAATGAGGGTATTATTAATATCCCTAATCTGGTCAGGATGCATAAGATAATTTTGAATGCTATTGAACACCTGAGATTTAATCACTTCCCAATTCCTTTGATAGAACATAGCTGGGAGCCCGTCCGGTCCAGGAGCTTTAAGTGGAGGCATTTGGAAAAAAGCACTTTTAACCTCTTCAATAGAAATATTAATAGACAGCTGGGCAAGTTGATCCACACTCCAATTCGGCCAATTGCTTTCAGTAGTTATCCCGTTAGGGTCCTCCAAATTCTCCTTGAACAAATTCACAAAAAAAACCCTAACTAGAGCAATTAACTCCTCTTCACTAGCCACCCAGCAACCTTTATCATCCTAGAGCTTTAAGATTTTATTTTTGTTCCTACAAATTAGAGTGCTTGTGTGATAAAATCGAGTGTTTATGTCACCATCTCTGATCCATTCTCCACTAGATTTTTGGTACCAAATCTGCTCCTCTTGATCTAGAATCTCTTCAAGCTCCTTCCTCAACTTACATTCCAATTCTTCAAGCTGAAAACTGTTTTTGAAAATTGAGATGTTTTTGAATACCTTCTATTCGGGCTATAACTCTGTTTTTTCTTAAATGAGTAAACCCAAAAATATTCCAATTCCACTCCTTTAACAAGGGAATGAAGGTGTTTATACTCTCCAGCAAACTGGTCTTGTGATTCCAATTGTCCTTGAGAAAGGAAACAAATATTGGATCATTCTGCCAAATGGCCATAAATCTAAAAGGCCTATCACACCAACTGGGCTCCTCTTTATCCATTATAACCAGAATAGGATTGTGATCTGAAAACAGCCTACGTAACACTAGGAAATCAACTTCTCCGAAATTAGCTCTCCATTCATCATTGGACACAGCTCTATCTAGTCTCTTGTAAATTCTGTCTAGATGGAGTAATTTGGGGCCCTTCCAAGTGAACCTATTTCCCCCTTCCCCTAGATCCAGCACAACACGGGCATCCAGCATCTCATTAAATTTTTTACACCTATTAAGATCAACTGGTCCCCCCCTCTTTTCTTAGCAGGAACATAAATCTCATTAAAATCACCAGAAATCATCCTGGGGTCATTCATAGTTCTACCCAAGTGTTTCAATTCCTCCCATAACACCATCCGCTTTCCTTCTTGAGGGCTGGCATATACAGCTGTAAAAAAAAAAACCTTTCATACCAGGAAATTCAACCCAAGCATGAATAAATTGATCATGAGAAACTTGGAAAGTTATCTTTACATCTGTAGGATTCCACACTAACCAAATCCCACCAGCAAAACCTTTAGCATCAGCAACTATGTAGTTAGAGAAACCCAAACTACGAATTATGCTAATGACTTTCTTCCCACTAAAACGAGGCTCTAGAATTGCAGCCACACCTACTATATGTTTCTTACGAAATCTGCTGAAGGTGCTTATAAATTGCTTCTTGGCAGCACCTCTACAGTTCCAAGTTAGGACATTCATTGTAAAATTTGAGGTTGGTGCAAGATTCCAGAGTTCTTGCTACTCAAAACTAGAGATTCATCATTAGATTCCTGACTTAAGTTCTCGCCAACATCACAACCAGGGCTAACATCAATCAAGGCATTCTTAAGATTGAAAACTAAAGAGGGTTCTAAGACCATACCTGACTTAGATTCCACTACTTTTGTTCCTTCTCCCATAACAAGATCAGGAGGGTCAGGTTCCTTCATTGAATCATCTGTTTTCAAGCTGCCATCAAGATAGGTACTGCTAGGGTCAGTACTGCTAGCATCTTCAGAAAGAACTTCATCAGCCATCATCAAATCACTCCGCATATTACTCTTCTGCTGGCCAAAGGTAGACTGAGTAGGTTTCTGAGAAGATTTCTGAAAAGAATTGCTGTTAGGGATGCACTTAGCATGGGAGCTGGCCACAACTCCTTTTTCTTTCCCACTTCGGGTCTTGACAAAAATTTTCTTTGAATTCTGAACGGCAGATTTAGTTTCTAGGTTGTTCTTAACAGCAGTGGAAACTGCTGCTGTAAACTCCATCCCCACCAGGGATTGTTGGCTGCTCTTCTCCAAGGAGACATTCTCCTTATTCACATTCAAACTTGAAGTACCAATCTCAGAATTCTTTTCCTCACCATTTTTTTGAATAGCTTTCTCACTTTTCACTCCTGGTTTAGAGCCAACCAGGTTCTTCCTATTGGATAGATCCTCTCCAAATGCTCTGATGCTACCATTTTCCATTTTCTAGAAATTTTGTGACCCTCTCCTTCTGCGTTGAACTACCATCCACGGTCCTACACCCTAAGGACCAGGGCTTTCCATTGGCCGGTCTTGAGCCTCTTCAGTCCTGAGTGGAGATTTTGGTCTAGCAAATTCAGGACAAGAGTCCGAATTGTGACCATACTTCCCACATTTGAGACAAATGAGAAATAGTCCCTCATACTCAACTTTCTTCCTACTCTCATCAACGATATATTCTCCTCTTAAAGGAGCTGAAAGATCTAACTCAATGCAGACTCTTGCGAATCTAGCTCTGTCCCCAGTTGAAGTGGTTTTATCCACCTTCAGAACTTTACCTATTACTGATCCCAAATGATTCAGGAAGGGAAACTCGCAATACTCTTGGGGTATACCTGGCAAACGCACCCATGCCGCAACCTTGTGTATATTGGCTTTGTCCGGATCAAAGCAAGGCTCCCATTTTCTGGTAGCAAGATAATGGCCCAAGATGACCCAGGGACTTCCCGTAATGGCTAGGTTAAGGTCTTCAAGGCTACTGAATCTCACTGAGTAAAACTCGTTACCAAGGTCCGCTACCGTTATGCTTCCCGCTTTCGCCCACAAGGTTTCCAACCTCTTCTTCATGAACCCGACCCCAACTTTCTTCCCTAGCAACTTCACAATCAGAGCATTTTTCCAACGTTGTCTCATCCTAGCACGAGCTTCTTTGCTGCTCCTAATCTCCACAGAATCATCCTCCCTTACCACTGTCTGAAAACCCCACTCCGAGATCTCACCCATGCAAGGGCCCAAGGGCTCCAGATCTGGTTCATCCTCTACGATTAGCCAGGTTAATGCATCTCCTGACACACTATTCTCCACTCCTGTTACATCTGCAAATGATTGCTGCTTCTCGATCCCCGGAGTACCAGACTGATACTCCTTCACCGTCTCCCTCATACGAGCTTCAGCTGGAATCTCCTCACCATTTTTAGTTCGCTTCGTGCTTCTTCTCGACATAGACAAAAGAACATTGGTACCAAAATGCTCCTCTCCCATAGAGAAAAAGAAAGAAAAAACTTCAAAGAGAAAAACTCTGTATGAACCCTAACATACAGAAAAAAATCGAGCGCGTGGAATCACTCGTCTAACCCATTTCCATGTTTTTTTTTATAAACATCATTTTAACCAAAACTTTAAGATATTATATGAGATTTAATTAATTATTTTATATTTTGTGTATCTCTCTAAAATTTGTTTCAACCAAGTGGATATTCTAACTGATTTTGCTTGGTTTGAGGGCAAGGCTGTGAGGTTAGGGCTTGACCTCTTGAGTGCTTGAGTTGTTGAACGGTGGAGGTGTCAAACGGTAGGTGACCTCCAAACGATGGTGAGTCGCTATCAACGGTTGTTCTGTGCCTCTGTGTCTCTCCGTTGCTTTAATGCCGAAACTCTTTATCCCTTTGTGTCTATTTGTTGGCCTCAATCTATTAAGTATTGAATCGTCCATCAGAGTGAGCACAGTTAGTTAAAAATTAGGCTCATGACCTAGAAGGACGTGAGTTCAAATTGTGCTGGCTGATAAGATATTGATATTTAATCCCACCTAAACTTTTATCTACTAAAAGAAAGTGATGAAACCTATTGAATCTTGAAAGTGTTTCCGTGGATTTGGAATGCTTTCTTTTTCTATTGGAATCCTTAATTCATGGATTTGGTCCGTTGAAAGTGTTAAAACGTGTTCTGTCTTGAGATAATTTTTGCGAATGGGACTTAATTTTTTTTATTTGTGATTTTGAAATGATTTAATTTTATTTATAAGGTACTCACTTATTTGTTATTATGCTATTATGGTCCTCTGTATTGCATGACATTCATTGTATATACCATGGTATTCATTTATTATGATATTCTTTCATATTTTACAGTAAATCCTCTGAATTTATAACTTAAGCCAATGAAAATGATTAGTACTATGATATAATGTATTCCAGACTATCCCGGTCCTGCAACATATACTTGATAAGAACCTTCAGGTGCACCATCCCAAAAACTAGCTCAATGAGTAAGTGTGTCTAAGATCTTATAAATCCCACATTAGGTAAGAAAAATGTTTTAACTAAATTAATACGTCGATCCAACACAAAATACATGTAACTGATTGGACATAGATGTCACCGCGTCAGAATATCTAATCCGTCTTTACGAAAAAGAAAATATTGCCCAAAAATAAAATTAATTCGTTTTTTTCTTCCCCACTAACACGAATCCGCCTAACATGACAACCTTGTTTTATTAAAAAGAAAAAACATGAACTGTATCAATCACAAATCTTTTTTCATTTTGAATTTTGAATTTTCTTGGTCGAACACTAACCGAATAGTACTTACCAAATTGCCTTCCGGTCAGCCATGGATATGGTAAATCATTAAGGCTCAACCGGACTACCTTTCATGCCGTCATATTTATCTGGCACAAAGAAATATGGATCATAGAAGGTTGTTTTGACAAAAAAAACAAAAACAAAACAAAATTAAACTGAACAAAACAATAATGTAATCATAATGACGCCCCAGAATTTTCGGAAAAAGCAACAAAATTATGAAGTAAACCCAAACATATAGACGCGGCTCACAAGTTGATATGGTATGACTACAGTAACTTGAACGATGAACTAGTACCAAATTCATTCCAAAAGAAAGAGATACAAATAAAACTTGAAGACCGATTAAGTAGTGAGCTCCATGATGGCACTGACAATGTCCCCGCCGTGAGTCTTGAGAGCCTTGACAGCCTTGCTTCTTGACACTCCGGCCTGTGTCATGACCAAATCAATGTCGTGGGGCTCCACATCAGTTTCATCAACCTCCTCTTCTTCCTCATCAACCGGTGCTCCTGGAGCTGCAGCATCTTGATCTGGTTTCGCCATTACAGATCCCATATCTGGCATCCTGAACTGCTGAGCAGCTTGATTCTGCAACTGAGAGCTCAAGTCCTCTATCTTAGCCTCCCCAAATATGACGTAGGTCTCAGAATTTGGACTCTTGAAGACATCAGGTTTTGAGATGAAAAAAAGAATCTAAGGCAGAAAACAATTGAGTAAGAAGCCACCCATGTTCCAGATAAATCAAACCCAGAACAATACACAAAACTAACATTTTTTGTTCTCTTGATTGTGACCCTACTAACGCCAGTGACAGGTTTCAGTCCGAGCTTCAACATTGCTTTCCGACTCTTCTTCTCACTTCTGCTCTGCTTTGAACCGTCAGAAGCACCTGCATCTCAAAGTCCAATAAAACAGATCTATGAACAAGAAGATCAACAGATAACAAGTCAAACAAATGTAATACAGCATAGATATGATTGCTACAACAGAGAACAAGTGCATAATACATTGATATTTTTTTAGGTAAAGCCTCTTAATCCTAAAATTTGTGACAGTTACTTACTTACCAATATTGCCTCTACAGAGCACATTGTTAACAAAAAAGCTCAATACTACATAAGAATCATAAGCACAGAAAAGTAGTAGCTGAATATAGTCAACATTTGAAGTCGATCGTTAAAAAAAAGAATCCCAAATATCATAATAGTTGTGTAAGAAAGAGCTCAGTGACAAAATCAGCGTAGTCAATGACTCAAGAAGGGTCGTCCCTCTTGCTGATTGAGGTGCTTCCAATTTGGTGAGGCCCTCGCCATAGGTGCACCTTTCAAGTTAGGCAAGGCATTTGCCTCTAGATATAGCTGATAACTATAGAAAGCAAACAAAACATAACAAAAAGCCCAAGCATCTGGCTCGTTAACTATGAAGCTAGAAGGGGTATCAGAATGTTAAAAAAAAAAACTAGTCCAACAATCTTTGGGACTTAGCAGCAACCAGCTTAGGATTTAGTTGATTGAATATTTGTTTTATTTATACCACAAATGTAATTCTCGAGTAATTATTTATATGGAAAATTAATGTAAAATGGACAAATATTTTAGTGATTTCTTTTTTTTTTCAATGTTAACATCTTTCTTCAGTGAGACGTGCCCTTTTTGGCATACGTTGCCTAAGGGCATTAAGAACTTAATATACCCCAGCACCTTTTGCCGAAGCCAACTAGGATAAAATTCTCAGATTTACATTGAATGATTATCTTAACAACGTGATAAATTTGGACCTCAGCAACAAATGAACCTAGCTCGTATTTCCCTTTCATGCCTAAGCACATAAATGTCAATCAGTCGAGTAACAACTACTTAACTTTTGCCAAGTCTCCTTTTAACTCATTTTATTTCCTACTATACTATATGCAGACAATCAATATACCTCAATCCACAGTCCATTATCGCTGAGACAGTCATTGTTAATTAAGACGAAAAGGGTACCTTCAAACCCACATGAAAAATACTGCTTTTAATTTAGACATCAAAGATCAACAGCCAAGGAAAAATAAATATATAAATGACAGCCAAAAGATGAAGCAAGTATTCAATTTGAACATTAACCGTGAGTCAACAATTACCATTTCTATATATGAAGATTTATGATTAGAGATCTTATGGTTGCTCCAGTAAGATAAAATTAAGCCAAGCTATTTGTCAGTTTGATTAAAATAAATAGGTATCAAAATTCATCTATATACGAGTTAGATCTCATGGGTAGATACAAAACTCTACCCAAAACCCTAGGAAGACGTAAACCCATTAATCAAAGGTTGTTACTGATAAGAACCATTGAATGTATGTATTATTAATAATAACACAAATTAAATAACAAACACCCATTTTTGTTAGATTAGACGTGAACAAAAGAAAACGTAGTGAAGTGAAATTAGAGCGGGGAAACAACTAGAGGACGAAGAAAAAGGGAAGACCTAGAGCACCGTCTTCCTTGTCATCATCGTCGTCATCGTCATCGTCTTCTTCATCGTCATCGGCTTCATCTCTGTCATCATCCTTCACGTCCTCAACAACGGGAGCATCGTCCTCCTGACAAAAAAATAGCATCACGCACACACACACAAATGAGACACCAAACCAAACCACGATTGAAACGAATCAAATCCAATCCAATTAACCCATAGACAAAAGCACAATCGAAAGTTTCAAAATTAAAAATAATAATAGTAATAAATAAATAAGGAACAAGTACCTGCGGGTGATGTTTCTTTTTGAGGGTTGCTTCATCAACAGAGGGAAGTTGTTGCTCTGGTTCAACCTCAGGGACTGCTGCGTCAACAACGGGACCTGGAGACATAGCTGTTTCTGAGTTGTGAGAGGTTTGAGGTTTCACTTCAGAGTATAGATTGTAGAAAGATAGGGATAGGGATAGATAACACTCTTTCTGCTACTTGTTCCGCCTCAAGTGTTTTCATTTTCACTCTTATTGGGCCATGTCGTTTTTGGGCCCAGGTTACCACCACTTAACTTAATCCATTCTCTCTCTATATATATATCTCGCTTTTTTCTATAGGCGATGTAGATAAGATAACTTATTTACACTGAATCCAAAATGACGTTGTTTTGAGGTAGAAATCAAGGTATTTTTGTAATTATAATTTATTTCAGGATTATAATAATATTTTTCATTATAATTTTTTAATTTTTCAATCCAAAACGACGTTGTTTTGAGAGCAAATGTAGATAACTTATCTACATTCACTTTTATATATGAGGCAGGATCCTTTGACACCGGTGTCAAAAGATCCTACCTCTTATATATATATATATACTGAATTGCACCGTGTTTAAACTATCTCTTTGCTTGAGTATACAAGTGGAATACTATGTAAATTCATTTCCATATGCAGAGGTGGAGATGGTGTTTAAACTATCTCTTTACTTGAGTACAAGTGGAATACTATGTAAATTCATTTCCATATGCAGAGGTGGAGATGGAGGATCAGTGGCATATCTATGTTGTCTAATTAAAAAAAAAAATCATATATTGATGTATGTAGTTGGTATCTTCTTCAAATAATTTAAACTTTAACATAATTTTTTTAGTTATTGAAAAATTTAACATGAGGATGAGCATTTGAGCAACCTCCTAATATTATAAGAATAACACCAAAAAAAATTGTTAATGTAGGGATACACGAAATGATGATTTTTTTTTTTTTTTTTTTTTACTTAAGTGTGGGTAACTGCCCCCAAACAACAAGATTGACGGGAATTAATAATACAAAAAAAAAAAAAAAACAAATAGAAGTTAAGTATGCACTAAATAGTAAACTAAGACCCGCCGGTAAGGTAGAAAAATTCATCCAAATCTTTCTTTGGATGAGGGGAATATTAAGGGTCATATTAGATTAGGATTTTAAAAGATTCTTTTAAGATAAAAAAAATTATAGATTTTAAAAGACTATCTAGAATTATAAAGACTTTTTTTAAAAAAAATAATTTACAATCAAAATTCTATAAAATTAAATTTTACAGAATTTTAATAGAATTTTTGAAATTTAAAGGACGATTTATAAATTTTCAAAAAATCATATGAATTTTTAATAAACATTCAAAATTGTTTTCATGTCTCTAACATATTCCTTTTTGTCAAAAGTTTTACAAGATTGAAATTTAGATAACACATAGTGGCCCTCCATATCAAGAGTCATTCCATTTTGAAAGTTACCGAATTATGGTATAGGAATGCCATTCTAATCGATATTGATCCAATTTCGTAAAACTATCATTCAGTGTATAAAATATAGCATTCTTCAGAACAATACTTGTAAAGGCACAAACAAGTGTACACAGAGTGTTTGATCGCCCCAAAAATGTACTTCAGGGTTACCATAACTGCCATCTCAATTTTTTGGTTTCTTTTTCCTATGATTATTTTCTCAAAAAGAATGTTTAGTGTTTGCTTAAGTCCGAGCTTCATTTAACTATAAAATATATTTGCATTTTTTCTCTAGTTCTTTAGTTTACCAGCACTAGTCTAGTATAACAGTTTCTGTAGAAGGTTGCACATTTGTTTTTTTAATATATTTTCTTTAATTTGTCTTTAAAAAAATAAAATATAAAATCTCTGCCCCAGCTGATTTATCTTGGTTGTTTGTTTCCAATTCCAAGAATAACAAGGTTACAACCTCAAAGAATGAGGTTTCAGGCCCCAACCCAACAACACTCCGCTCCTGAAAAGAACGATACATCATCTTCACTTTGGAGTTTAATTATATATGTACTTTGGCAAGTGATATATGTGTTGGTTTGCTTGTTGAATACTTGTCGGTTTTTTTTTCCTCTTATCATTGCATATAGTATTCAAATTCATTCTTGTGGGAGAAAAAAAAAATTGCATTCAAATATAGACTCACTAACCTCTACTTTTGCTAGCCTTTGCTCATGTAGTCATGTTAAGGCTCATCTAATATTGAACACTACGATTGTCCACCAATTAGTGAACATAGCTGCACGCATTCTTGCTTGGTGGTTTACATGGCACATTAAGTTACAGCAGGAAACATAGGCATCCTTCTTCTAGTGAAGTAAACAGTTGCACGTAAAAAGTTGAGTGTGAAAAATAGTAATTACAAAAAGAACTCTTCAAGAATCTGAAATAAACTCTAAACAATTTCTGATCATTCTTCATGAAGGATCCAACAGATCCAGTAGTAACATCTCATGCTACTCGAAATATCGAACATTCCCCTAACCCTAAAAAATGAGAGATTATACTTACTACCTCTTTTTCTTAGTACTTTTTATTACTAAATCTTAACAGTTGATTTCCATCAATCTAACGGTTATAATTTATTGGGTCATACTTATTAATTTTTAATAAATTATAATCATTAGATTGACGGAAATCAACAGTTAAGATTTGGTAGTAAGAAGTAGTAAGAAAAATAGGTAATAAGTATAACCTCTCCCTCCCAAAATTACAAGATATTTACCACCTAAAAATTGGTCATTTGAGTTACCCAAAAAGAAGCTACAAGATTTGTTAATTATCAACGGAGCATGGACTATAGTACCCACAACAATACCAAATTCTAAGTGTGAATTTGACAGCTTAATATATACATTATTTTTGTTTCAAAATACCATTTGACTCTTCCAGTACTAATCAAGTAATCAGCAATTGCCGGTGAGGAGGAGCCCCTGTTGTTTCCTCATATTCCTCTGATTCTTCCAGTAACTAACACTCTCTGCATTGCAATGCTGGGTCCAGTACAAACAGGGAGCAGCCGAATCACAAACATAACAGTAGCACTGCATTCAAGCCAAATATTATTGTCACAAAGGTAATGCGGAGGGAAATCCACAAGACTTGCACACATAATTGTATATATAAGACATCAAGTTTCATTACCATTTCACAATAGCTCTGATGAGGCGTGGTCTTGAAAGGAAACTTTAGACAGAGATGTCTTGAGTGCGGGTAATCTCTGCAAGCTACCTATTTCACATTATCTTCAATCAGGAATATGACTTTTTTGAGAATAAAAAACACAAATTGCTAAATAGATTGGGATTTGGGGTCAATACTATGAGATTGACCTATTGTCCAATAATAAAAATGACATTATAACTACTCTCTTTAAATGAAATTGAAAAGTGAAAACCAACCAGGTGGTTTCAATTTTACATTTACTTCTCTTCCAAGCATATAGCAATATTTGTCGAAAAGATCAGTTTTTTTTTTCCCCCATTACTTTACTTCTTTTCCCAATAATTTTCCCAGAAAGATGCGTGTGAGTGTGTAGTATATGTCCATCCACGTATATTAATGCCAAGCAAGTGACCCCAAAATCAAATGTGCTTCCATCAAACTTCAAAACACAAAAGTTGATGAAATCGAAATAAATGTTGGTGAGTCGAAGAACCCATCAGGAAAATCTAGGGATTTAAAAAGTGTTGAAAATAGAAATTGAAATTGAAATGTTGTTCCTAGAGATAGGAACGAGTTTGTTTATTTGTTGCTTACTGTTAGGAGGTTAGCATATTTGTAGAGTTAGTTTCCTGATTTTGTGGCTTAGTTGTTAAACGCCATTTGTATATAAACACCTCATTTCAGAGGTATGACTACGATGAATAGTATTCACATAATAGAGAATTCATTTTAACATGGTATCAGTTTGTTATTGATCCAGGCACCACATCGTTTTTTTTTCTTTTTTTCCTCAACCTACCCGAACCGTACCTCTCCTAACCGACCCGACGTTTTTTCCCTTACCCGAATCCTATCTCAATATCCCTTCTTCTTCTTCATGGAAATCCCTCCCCTCACCGACACCAGACTCCTCTGCCATGGTCACCCGTTCTCCTTCGACGCATCCCTCTTCCAAGCCTCGCAAAGATTCCTCCTCTGGAAAACCACTGATTTGCTCTCACTGTGGTGATTCGGGACACTCCAAGTCCAGATGCTATGAAGTCATTGGATACCCCGATTGGTGGGACTTCACCAAAAGGCCTCGACGGAAAGTCACATCCAAAGCTCTGCAATCCTCATCCGAAGGTGAATCTTCTGCATCTCCTCAAGCTCATGCTGTCTACGAAGGTATATTAGGTAATCACCTTGCTTTCTCTGCTCACTCTAGAAATAGCTCATGGATTATTGATACTGGAGCATCGGATCATATGATCCGAGATGCCTCTGCCTTGCGACAATGCTCTCCTTGCAGTAAAACAACCATTACCACTGCTAATGGTGGCTCTGCCCCCATCACTGGTCAGGGCACCATTTCTCTGACCCCATCTCTTACTCTCACTTCTGTCCTCGTGGTCCCTTCCTTGGATTTCAATTTAATTTCTGTAAGTCAACTAACATCACAACTTCATTGATCTGTGATTTTTTGGCCCACATTTTGTGAGTTTCAGGACGTCCGAACACAGGAGATTCTTGGCTATGGTGTTAGACATGGCAACCTCTACTTCTTGGACCTCCATCATGATCCTCATTCGAAGCCTCTGACCTCTGCTACCAGAATCTCTGACTCCACTCCTCCTGCAGCTTCAACTCCGGATTCCAACCAGTCCAAAATCTGGCTCTGGCATACACGGCTTGGACATCTCTCCTTCATTTCCCTTAAAAAGTTATTTCCAAATCTATTTTCTAGGTGCAACCCATCCTCTTTTAAGTGTTCTGTCTGTGAAATGGCAAAAAGCCATCGCATTTCGTATTATCCCAGCCCCAATAAGAGTTGTATCCCCTTTCAAGTTATTCATTCAGATGTATGGGGACCTTCTAAGGTTCCCTCCCTCTCTCATTCTCATTACTATGTATCTTTCATTGATGAATGTACTCGCATGGTTTGGATTTCACTTTTTAGAAATAAAACTGAAGTCTTTTCTTTGTTTCAGCAATTTCATAGCATGGTTCAAAAACAATTTAATAGCTCCATCCAAATATTTCAATCAGATAATGGCCTTGAGTACAAAAATAAACCATTCTCTGACTTTCTCCTCTCTAAAGGAATCAAACACCAAACATCTTGCACCTATACACCTCAGCAGAATGGTTTCGCCGAAAGGAGAAATAGACAGTTATTAGAAGTGGTAAGAGCCTCATTATTTGGCATGATTGTCCCCTCATCCTATTGGGGAGAGGCAGTCCTCTCTGCTGCCTACATCATCAACCGAACCCCATCCAGTGCACTGAACTTCCTCACCCATCAACAGAAACTTGAATCCTATTTCTCTATTCCTCATGGAACCTAGGGTCTTCGGTTGCACTGTCTACATTCATGTGCCTAAACCACTGCGAAATAAACTTGAACCTTGTGCAAAAAAATGCATCTTTGTAGGCTATTCTGATCTCCAAAAAGGTTACCGTTGTTATGATCCCATTTCAAAAAAATTACATGTCACTCTTGAAGTATCTTTTCGGGAATCCGAGGCCTTCTATTCAGGGGGAGTCATCAACCCTTCTTCTCAGGGGGAGATTCAACAGATCAGAGAAGAAGATTCCTACTTCCCAGTCACCATAACACCTACACCAATTGCAGAACCTCCTACACCAGCAAATCCCACCACTGCAGAACCTCCTACACCCAAAGGACAACCATGTCTATCACCCATAACCGAATCTCCTGCTATGGACAGCCCCGAAGAACAAACATAAATTATCACTGAGGTAATTACTAATCCTAGTCCACAAAATTTAACTCCGGAAATACAAGTCAGAAGGTCAGAAAGACAAAATAAAGGTATACCCCGAACCTTGTATGAACCAGACCCGAGTACAAAAGTTAAATACCCCATTAGCAATTTTGTGTCATCCCATAGGCTCTCTGGATCATATGCTCTAATGGTTGATCAATTGTCTACTATAGCTATTCCTAACAGTGTGCAGGAAGCATTGGAAAATCCTAAATGGAAGGAAGCAGAATTCAGAGGAATGTCATATGGCATTTGTGAGTTAGTTTGGGTCAGAAACATACTTGCTGACTTAGGAATTAGATATAATCAGCCCATGAAACTTTTTTGTGACAACAAGGCTGCTGTGGAAATTGCACACAATCCAGTTCAGCATGATAGAACTAAACATGTTGAAGTGGATAGGCATTTTATTAAAGAAAAGTTAGATAATCAAGAGATCCAGATACCTCATGTTCGATGAGACGACCAGCTTGCAGATGTCCTGACAAAAGGTGTCTCTTTAAAGGTATTTAAAAAACTTATTGACAAGTTGGGCATGACTGATATCCATGTACCAACTTGAGTGGGAGTGTTGAAAATAGAAATTGAAATTGAAATGTTGTTCCTAGAGATAGGAACGAGTTTGTTTATTTGTTGCTTACTGTTAGGAGGTTAGCATATTTGTAGAGTTAGTTTCCTGATTTTGTGGCTTAGTTGTTAAAGGCCATTTGTATATAAACACCTCATTTCAGAGGTACGACTACGATGAATAGTATTCACATAATAGAGAATTCATTTTAACAAAAAGAAAGCAGAGGAAAAAACCCTAAACTCGAAGAATGGAGGGTTGTACCTTGCCCTTTTCAGCAATAACAGAGAGATCATCGTCATCGTTGTTGCGAGCAGAAGCAGGGTTCTTCTTGTTTTCCAACAAGGGAACAGGCTCGGAAGGGTCAAATCCTAGGATGAAGCAGTCCTCAGTTTCCTCGAAACGCTTCATGTCGTTGATTTTTTTCAGACAAACTATGGCCCTGATTGGGCTATCGTCCCGTGGTTGTAGGGAAGAAGGGATTGGAGCTTTGCGAACGGTCTTCTCCACTTTACCATATTTAATGGGCGTTTTCATGTTACCTTCTTCCGTTTTCTTCTTTTTCGCAACCATGGGAAGTGTGCTTTTTCGTCGCCTAGATCGAATCCCAATTCCCACCTACGTTTCAATGGCGAATCGAGGATCGACGATCACCAACTAGCACGGTCGATATACGCTGCAGTGGAATAGAGAGAGTCGCGATCAATCATCATTTTCAAAATACGCTAATTCGAAATATGACCGTTTAATGATGTATTTTGAATTAGGATTTTAAAAGATTTTTTTTTAGAGATAGAGAATTTTATAAATTTTAAATATTATTTGGAATCGAATGGATTTTAAAGATTTTTTTAAAAGATATTTTTATAATCAAAATTTTTAAGATTAAATTTTAAAGAATTTTATAGAATTTATAAAATTTAAAAGGACAATTTGGATATATAAAATTTTAAAAAATATGAATTTTTAACAAATATTTAAAATAATAAGAGTCAATAAAAAATGTAACGATATTAATAAAAAAAAATTAAAACTTAATATAATTTTCTCAATCAGTTACACATAATGTAAATTTCAATAAACTTTCAAAACTACTAAGCAACAGCTCTCCACGTATCTAAAGTTATACTAGTTCTCTATGCATTAGATTTTTTTTGTTTTTGTTGAAAATTATCTTCTTCCTTTGGTATCAGAGTTATGCATATATGATTATAAGACCTAATTTTTTTATTTATTAAAATAATTCTAAAGTTGCATATAGAACTTAAAGTTTATGATAAAATTTCGTTTGGATTTTTTTGCAATCGATCTTAGAAACTTTGGGAATTTTGTTTTACGATAAAAGTTTTCTTACTATATATCATATACATGTTTTTATTTAATAAAGGAAAATTATGAATTTGAATTTCTGGGTTTCATTACATGAAAGTTTAAAAAATTTCTGAAATTATTTTCAATTGATACATGGAAACTTTAAATTGCTTTAGGACTTTTGAAAACAAGTTTTTAGTTATCTATTGATACAAAAATTATTTGAAATCGTTTCTTACAGCTAAGGAATTTCGTTTATAAATGTATTGTTACGAAATATAAGTTTTACATTATAAAAGTTTCAATCTTTCTTTAAACTGATCTTGTTTCATTCATGTAAAACAAAAATTGGTTTAAGGGTTTTAGTTCTCCAGTTATTTTTTCACTGTTTTATGTTGTTTTTAATACAAATATTATACATTTTTGTGCCAAAAAAAATCGTGAACCATAATTTGAAAAATCTTTTTTTTAAACTTCCAAAACCTCTCAACAATATGTTGTTTTGAGATAGATTATATTATAATCTTCTTCGTTTGTTGTTTCTGCGATGGGTTATATTATAATCTTGTTGGTTTGTTGTTTCTGAGTTGTTTTGAGATGAAATTCGCTCAAAAATTTGCTTGAGTTTTGACGAAGCTCTCATGGCGAAACACGATTTTGAGCGGGTCAGTCAACCCACCAAAGGAAGAAAAAAACACTGAAATAGAGAAATCTCAAGAAATCCTAGGGTTAGCCGGTTAGGGTGAGATTGTGAGAGAAACATCTTATTTATATTTCTCACTAAAAAGTCTCATAAAATTTACACTAGTAGAAAATTCATTAAAATCGTATGATTTTTTAATAACACAATATTATTTTTCCTTTGTTTAAAATCCTAATTGAATACTAACGGACTCTAAAATAATATTTTAAAATCTTAATAAAATATCACATGATTTTTTTTTAATCCCTTGAAATCCTAATTGAAGAGCAATGAATTTTTTATTTAAAAATTATCCATTAAAATCATTTAAAATCTCAATCTAATATCCCTTCTTACTTTTTATATAAAGATAGAGATCACTGACAAGAGATAACGCTCAACTGAACTCAAACTTGTTATTTGAAGATTATTATAAATATGTTTATTTTATGTTATTCGTAGATTTGAATTTTGCAATTGGTAATCAGCTGGGTGGTCAAAGTAATCAAAGCACATGCTTTTATTAACAGTTTTTTTTTTTATAAAAAATAATCAACTTACATCGATATATAAATAAAAAATTTATATTTAACTTTAATCATTATTTTATTTATGAGGAAAATATTTCTACAATTACTGCAGATAAATTATCTGCATTTATTTTTAAAATAACTTCGTTTTGGTATTGAAATCTTAAAAAATTATAAGTATAAAGACTATTATAATTCTGAAATAAATTAAAATTATAAAACACTATGATTTCTGCTCCAAAACGACGTCGTATTGGGCTTACTGTAGATAACTTATCTGCATTAACTGCCGAACCCTTTATTTAAATATAACTTAATATTAAAAATATAATTTATAATTTTCATTTCTTATATATAGAAAACCGTAAATATCTACCATCCAACCGACTCACATTGATTAAAATGGGTCAGATATCTAGATTATGTGATCGAGTAGATAGAAGTGATAATTTTGTCTCAATCAATAAATTTTAAATTTTCCAACTCGAATTGGCTAATTCTCCTATTTTATTTTAAATTTTGTCAATGAATTATATTTTAATATTTTTTATTTTGAAATAAATTAATATTTTTAAAAACCATAAATCAAATAATAAAAAAAATATCTTAGAAAAACTCATATTTTTTAAAAAAATGTTAGAATTTATTTTTTCAATTTTAAAAATATATATTATATTATCGAATACAAAAATAAATCAAATTGTTGTATATTAATTTTATATAAATATTATAATAAACATGCTTTAACCAATAACTTATCGACATCGTGTAAATGTTTCTAATTCCCATCAAGGTGTCAAAAAGCCATGTTTAGAGCATAATTTTTCTAGTAACCCGACCTTTACATTACTCGATAGGAATGTGCATGGAGCATTTCGTAATCGGTTTCGACAAAAATCGAATTGATCCGAATTTAAATGATTTGATTTTTAAACCGAACCTATTTTTAAAAAAAAAAAACAGTTTTTAATTTTCCAAATCGATTTGAAATCGGTTCCAAAACCGGTTTATGGTTCATAACCGGTTTTGATTTAAAATCGATTTTAATTCAAAACTGCTTTTAAATCAAAACCGGTTATGAACCATAAACCGGTTATCAACTTCAAAACCAGTTTATAACATAATTTTTATGGTTATGTATAATTTCAAAGACAATGGTCACATAATCTCAAAATACAAATAATTTCCTCATTCTATCTTCACACAACACTCTCAATCAACATAAACGAAAGAATCAAATTCCAAAACCTTTGTGCCTTCTTCTTAACCTTGAAGCTTTGTTTCAAAGTTCACGTGTGGAACCTCAATAACAAATTAACCATGAGCATTCTTCAAAATAGCAACAACTCTTCTACACAGGTTCACGTGTGGAACAACACCAAAGAAAACTTAGCCCCACTGCACTCAATTCCTCCCCCCAAAAGCATTCTTCGAAACTCCAACTCCCACTCCAAATTCGCAAAGAACAAAAACAAGCATTTTGCTTCAAAGTTCACAGAACCAAAAACGAAACAAAACGTTGTCGTTTCACGAAGAAGGTATGTAAAACAGTTTGGTTATAAATAACTATGGATAACCAAATATTTTTATGATTTGGTAAATAACCAGTTTATAAAATAAAATGCAGTTTGGTATGAAAGTGGTTTTTAAAAATAATCAATTTTTTAAATGTGGAGTAGTTTGATTATGGATTGATTTGGTTCTTTTGGATATATTGAACACCCCTGATCGGAACAGGTTTTTACAACTGGGCCGATCATGTGATCTTCCTCTACACAGCTTGTAACCGTCTTGGGTCAGAGCATCTTGCAGTTGGGCCGCTTTATCCCATGAGTCTTCAATGGAACGCGATGGGGGGTGTACCTGCAAGACACTCTGACACTCAAGTCAGATTTGGTTCAAGCAGGTTTTATTATGTAGAAGAAGATAATGTACCTTGTGGTTAATACATGTATTTATAATGGAGAGATGAGCGGCTTGAGAGATGTTACTTAGTGATCAGGTTTGCTTTGTCTTGGAGGCAAAGTAATAGAGCTTCCATGTTTAATGTTGAGGAGCTTGATAAGGCCATTAATATTGTGCAGCTTGATGGCTGTCATGAGCTTGCTGCTATAGAGGTGTCTTTGTTGTCATAAATATTGTGCAGCTTGGAGAGATGGGTTTGCAACCTTCATTGACTATGAGCTTTCTTAATAGTAAAGACTTTTAGTTTGGGCCTTGTATTTTGATAATATATATCCAGATCAGAAGCCCCCAGCTCGTTGCTTATGCTGAGAGCATGAGTAGTGAGATGTATAAATTTGCGAGATGACATATCAATTTATCAACCTGGAAAATGCATTGCGCTTGGTCCTTTATCTGGAACTATGGTCTGTACTTTGTATGGGTGCTTGAGAGCTGTATATTTGGATCCTGCATTTTGATACAATTCATAATTCGTAGTTCATAAAGTTGGCATACCTTGTGAATGTTTTGGGGCTTGATGTTGCTGAATATGTAGCGAAAAGTGTCGCGCTTTGGATGAAGTTTTAACCAATTAAGGTGTTACCTTCCCTTAGCTTTTTTTGATTGGAGGATCTTTTAGGGGGATCCTTTGTAATTGGAGGATCCTTTATGAGGGATCCTTTTAATTGGAGGATCCTTATGAGGGGTTATTTTAATTGGAGGATCCTTATGAGGGATTCTTTTAATTGGAGGATCCTTATAAGGGATCCTTATAATTGGAGGATCCTTATGAGGGATCCTTTTAATTTGGAGGATCCTTATGAGGGATCCTTTTAATTGGAGGATCCTTATGAGGGATCCTTGTAATTGGAGAATCCTTATGAAGGATCCTTGTGCTTGGAGGATCCTTATGAGGGATCCTTTTAATTGGAGGATCCTTATGAGGGATCCTTTTGCTTGGAGGATCCTTATGAGCGATCCTTTTGCTTGGAGGATCCTTATGGGGGATCCTTTTAATTGGAGGATCCTTATGAGAGATCCTTTTGCTTGGAGGATCCTTATGAGGGATCCTTTTATTTTCTTCATTGCGCTTTAACTTGGAGGACTTTTCCTCTGTTTGGTGAGACCTGTAATTTCCATAGATCTCACAGAATAATAACATTATATCATGGAGATGATAATTGTAACAAGATCATGTTAAAATAATAATGTTGTTGATAGGAAATGTAGCATTTGTTTTTGAGTTTGTCTGTGTTTCACGCGAGATTTTTGTCTTCGTCTTTTAGCAGTCATGGAGCCCTGCAATCTCTTATGGATTTCACAATAGAAGTAGTTAAGATACCTCAAGATAAGGGCATATAAATCAGATAAACTTTTCTGAGTCTATCTGCATTCTCAGTGAGATTAATATCTTCACTGTTCATGGTCCCTGCAACTTTCATGAGTTTCGTAACAAAGACATAAGATTGTCAAAATAAGTTATATATGTGATGATTTGTATAGTGTGAGCATCCTGCAAGTTTATGTAATCTCACAAGAAGAATGATCTTCAATAATGATTTAAGCATTCATGATACCTGTAGTCAGTAAATGGTACATCTCAGTGGTCTGGAATTTTATGAAACGAAAGCGGATGGCGATATATTGGCCTATGTCTTGGTCCCATCGTGCATTAATCAACATCGCGCCATGTCATTTTGTAAGTAGTACAAATACTACAGGCATTATAATCAAATATATGCTGGGTCTCGCAAACTTTATCTAATCAAATATATTTGTAAGCAAAATATATGTTGGCACGATGCTTCGAGGAGTCTTATGTCGTGAGTTGTCACTGCGGAAACAAAACTGTATAGACAGTAGTTCCAGATTGTTAAGTTAATATATGTAACTTACATGCTTCCACCCTGTATCGAGCGAACAAATACTTCCATAACCTTGGTTGTGACACATGTAAGGTCATCGCTATGGTACTTTGAGTTGGGTAAAATATGCCTTCCTGTATGAGGGAGTTCCTTGAGATGCTACAACAGTACTTGAGATATAAACCTTCTTGATGTTTTTAAAATTGTTTGGTTTGTTGCTCTCACAAGTCATAATCGCGCAACATCTGGGAATAATATAAATCATGCACACATATATGGGAGATGTAATGGTTTTGGTAAAGAATCATATAAACTTTTCCAACTCATATTTTCACATGAATTTTCCAGATGATAAGAGAAAGCAGCAAACGAAGCTCGATGATTCGGGCACGTGCACTGATAAGAGATGAAGACGAAAACCTATATGTGTAGCTATATTCATCTATGTACTATTCCTTCAATTTAATTTGCAACTACTAAATTTGTACGGAACTTTGGCACCAGCTCTTGGCGATTTGTCTTAAATGGAGTTTTTGAACTATATGTGGAACAATGTAACTAGGAACTCTCAGCAAAAGAAATTGGTAGTCTTAAATCTTTGCAACTATCGCTCCTGAATGGAAATAAATCAACAGGTTCACTGCCATAAGAGCTTGGCTACCTTTCGGTTCTGGATTTATATATAAATCCATAGCGCGATACTATGGTACCGTATATTACAAGGATTGGTAGGTACTGTATATTATGAGGAAACTGCATATATCTTGCCAAAGATGTATGTTGGCGCGATGCTACGAGGAGAAGCACACATCTAGTAGGTACAAACGTGTTGTAATACCATGGAAACGAAGCTATATAAACTGCAGGTGCAAACGCGGTATATCATCATGTATAAGCTCTATCAGCATGTAGAAGCATGCGCGCGTTATATAAACAATCTCAGATTCATGTATAAGCCTGTGATGAAGATAGATGAGGCATATGTGTCGGGTGATGGAGATAGATGAGGCATGTGGCATCACCATGAACCTTGTAAAATATGGTTCATTTCTATACCTCCTTTTCTGTGCCGGGAGTTATGCATCGCGCAAGAATTCTTCAGGCCATAAAGTATACCTGACTATATATATATATATTGAGCAGGGACCTTATCGCGCTGAACATGTAAACATGAGTTTTTGGTAATAGGTAAACTTGATGTTAATATACAGACAACACGTAAGCATAGACCTTGTGCGTGTCCCCAAGCATGTTTTGTTTGGAATTTTAGCATGACGTTTGGACACGTAAAACTCATGTATCATCTGATCTTAAGATGTCCTAAGGCGGTACCCATAGATCTATTTACTAGCTATTGCATGGATACTTTGGTCATCTTGCTTACTGATGTAGATATCGCGATGGTGCGATCTTGAAACCTTGGCGCAACCTTGGCGGATAAGTCGGTGACATATATGTGACCGGCACGCGATGTAGTTTCTCCAAATTGTTTTATCCATCTTCTTCTTCAAATGGATAAAATACAACCTTGGTGGACATCTCGCGACATGCAGGGTGGTCTTGGATAAAAATAAAAACTGGAAGGTTTTATGATAACAACCCCACCTAAATTGTTGCAAGGAAGTTGCTTGCCTTCATCTATACTGCGCAAGGAGATTCATGGGTTATGCATAATAACCAATATTCTGCGTAGTTTTATTCCACCTTCGCGCATGTTTTTTATTCCATGTAGAAATATGATTTTCTAATATTTCGTGGATAGAGCCTTGCTGCATGCGCGACGACCCAAACAAGTATTGGTTATTCCATGTAGGAAGGAAGCTATAATGTAGAGAGAGATAGCGATAATATAGTTTGCAATATTTATAAATTACTAATTAGATAAAGATATTAAAATATCCTTAATCCATATTTTGCAATACGTCATGTAATACGTATTAGCTAGTCTTATCCAAAGGCGGCACCGTTGTATTTTGCGGTAAGGCACCGCCCTGTCAGAAACCAAACCAATCCCAGCCTGATGTGATGAGGTGAGTGGGGATAGCCATCAAAAGTAACTTATTACCACAGTTTATGCCTCATCTTTAAGAAGCCCATACTACTACTAGAAAAGTAGTATTTTTATTATAAAAAGTAATACAGGGTCGGTGCTTATCAAAGCGCGATGAAGATCAAAAAGACGAAGCAAGAGGATGCCTCTTTTTTCATATGTCTTTGAGAAGTTGTATCATGGACAGCATATGGCAGATTAATAGCATTTTTTATATAAAAGAGCAGGTCGCTATAATTGGAAGGTGTGTTTTCAATTTGGTTATATGTTGAACTTGAAGGGGCGTGCGTGGCAATTGCCTAGGCTAGGCTCACGAATTATAGCTTATGTCTTTTCTTGTGTGGCTCTAATTTCAAGTTGGACCAAATAGTATCACTTTCCTCACAAGTTGACAAGCCAATACCCAATGATCAGACTACATGCAACCCTTGTAAACAAGTCTTGATATCAATAAGTCTTGCATCGCGCGCTCAATATATGGGCATCGCGCATCTCTTTTCCTAGACCCCTGTTGCCATTTTTTATTGTAAGTAGTACAAATACTTCTTTCTAATAGAAGTACTAATGGAGTGTCGGCTTATTACTAATCAAACGATTTTTATCGTATAGACTTTTATCACTTATCCAAACAAGGAGATAAGCATTGCGCAAGGATACTTTGGATTCACAAGCCACGTACTAGCATCGCGCTATGATACTCTGGATGAGTATTATCATTACCGGGATGACTAACATCTTTACATAATGAATGAAATTCAATAACTACTGGTAAATAAAGAGATCAAGGCAGATAGCATGTACCTTTTTTGGGGTAGGAATTGAAGTTTACCTTTTCCCCCATACGGCGCCAATGATCGGAACAGGTTTATACAACTGAGTCGATCATGTGATCTTCCTCTACACAGCCTGTAACCGTCTTGGGTCAGAGCATCTTGCAGTTGGGCCCATGGGTCTTCAATGGAACGCGATGAGGGGTGTACCTGCAAGACACTCTGAAGCTCAAGTCAGATTTGGTTCAAGCAAGTTTTATTATGTAGAAGAAGATAATGTACCTTGTGGTTAATACATGTATTTATAGTGGAGAGATGAGCAGCTTGAGAGATGTTACTTAGTGATCAGGTTTGCTTTGTCTTGGAGGCAAAGTAATAGAGCTGCCATGTTTAATGTTGAGGAGCTTGATGAGATAAGGCCATTAATATTGTACAGCTTGATGGCTGTCATGAGCTTGCTGCTATAGAGGTGTCTTTGTTGTCATAAATATTGTGCAGCTTGGAGAGATGAGTTTGCAGCCTTCATTGACTATGAGCTTTCTTAGTAGTAAAGGCTTCTAGTTTGAGCCTTGTATTTTGATAATATATATCCAGATCAACCCCTATTACCCGACACCGGAAAGAGTTAGTGTTTGTTTGGATCATCTCTTTTTTTAAGTTAGAAGTTATTTATAAACATATGTTAGGTCAAACAAGCTTTGAGAAAAACTCTTACAATGAAAAGCTCTTTTTTTTATAATAAACAAAAAAAGTAAAAGTTCCTCCTAAGAGTTTTTTTTAAGCTCTTATCTATTTTTCTTGAATTGTGTATTTTTTTTGTAAATTAAGAGCTATAAAAATAGAGAGAGATAATTTTATTGAAATATGTGCTTTTAAATAAGCTTTAAACTAATTTTTTTATCTAATTATCAAACAGTTTTTAACTCTCTTTTTTTCAAAAAATTTTTTTTTTTAACTTCAAACTTATAAGTATTTTCTAATTTAAAAATAAGATAATCCAAACAATCTCTAAATTATCAAGTCGCCGTTCCAAAACTACGACTAAGCAATTACATTGATTATTCGAGTCACCCTAAGATAAGCTATCATGGCACATTTCCTTCACCAGATAGCATGACTACATAACATGTGATAAAGTATAACACAAAAACAAAATTCCAACTTGATTTTCTGTATCCCGTTCCCACATGTCATTCCAATTTCCAATTGTGGACAGCAACATCAAACAAGAGTTTATTATAATTATTATTTTCATCAGTCGGACTCTTTTCCAAGTTTCTTCATATCCCTCTGGTCCTTCCAGTAATCACCACCATCTGCACCACAGTGTTGGGTCCAGTACTTACAAGGGGCAGCTGAATCACATGCATAACAGTAACACTGCATTCGACCAAAGATTTCACAACAAGTTAGTTGACAAAGGCAATGGGTGGTGACCAATAGAGAAGGGTAACTCCAATCATTACCATTTCACAATAGCTCTCATGAGGTGTTGAACTGAACGGAAATTTAAGACACATGTGTCTTGAATGCGGGTAATCTCTGCAAGCTACCTATAAATATTTCTCAACATAAACATTCACCAGCACAACTCAGAATAAAGTTCTACAACAACCCATTTGAGTCTGAAACAGACATTGCTAGAACCAAATAAAGAATGGCAAACGATTAATCTAAAAATGAAATCTTTACCCTTCCCTTTCCCTCCAACAAAAGAAGAAGAAGGAAAAACTATATGTAACGAGTTTTGTAGGGAAAAATGGAAGTTGTATTTAGCATTTACCGGACCCTTTTCAGCAACAATGGAGAGATCAGCGGCATCATCATCGTCATGGTTATTCTTGTTGTCCAACGAAAGTTTGGATAGGGGAAGCGACTCAGATGGGTCGAACTCTAAGATGAAGCACTCCTCGGTTTCCTCGAAACGTTTCATGTCCTCTTTTCTCTTCAGACAAACTATGTTCCTGATTGGGGTCTCCTCTTTTGGCGAAGAAAGGACTGAACTTTTCTCATCCTCATTTTTCTCTCCCATTTTTTTCTTGCTTTCTTCCCTTCACCGTTTGGCTGCCAAGAAACTGGACCTAAGAAATTCCTGGACTCTCGAACAACACATAAATTCCAAATTCGGAATCTCAAATGACCCTTCGCGTCCCCTCATCCAAACGACGTCGTTGCAGCTGGGCAGATCCTTAAAAGCCCCGAGCATTGAAACTCATTTTCTTTTGAATGTTTATTTTTTTTTTGTTTTGGGCCCAATACTAACATGGTAAAAAACAAAAAACCCAAAGAAGAACATATCCATCTATCTATCTAGATTCCATTATTTCAATGTGCTTATATTCTAAATAAAGATCCTAATTTAAAGCGACCCATATTTCAATGTGCTCATATTGGCAGTTTATGTTGCAGCTTGAAAACTGAGCCTATCAGAATTAGGTGCCCAAGACTGTTGCAAGCATTGGCAGTTTATAAACAGTTTTCCAACTTTGATACAAAATTGAAAACTTTGACTGTGTGTTTACCCCACTTGCTTGATTTGTTAAAAGATGGGTGCAACCGAATTCATAAATTAATGTTGTACAAAATGGATACAATCATGTTACGTTGGTACTTGAGTGAGTTAATGGTGATAAGAGAGTAGAGAAAAAAATATAAGAATAGAAAGTTGAGTAAATACTTTTTTGGGTCCCTAAGAAAAAGCACGGTCCTCACTTTAGTTCCTTACAAAAATAAATTAGTCAGTTAATCTCTAACAAATTCAAAGTGTACCCATTTTAGTCCTTTCGAGGGATTAATATGGGTCTTTTTTGAATTTGTAAGGGACCACGATTTTAACTAAATGGGTCCACTTTGAATTTGTTAGGGACTAACTGACTAATTTATTTTTGTAAGGGACTAAAATGGGGACCGTATTTTTTGTTAGGGACTAAAAATAGTATTTACTCTAGAAAATTACACAATCATCACCGATGATTTAATTATTAATGGTTAAGATCTTTCCACATGACATAATCATTTTAAATTATATATGAGAAGATCTATTTTCATGTTTTTTTAGAGATATAGACTTGTTTTATATAGTGTATATATTAGGCGTTTTATACTTCTCCTGTCACTGTAAGGAAAAAAAATTGTAATAACAATAAGATACGGTTCTGTATTCTGATGTGTTTTTTTAAAAAAATTAATAATAAAAAATGAGATCCACTTGTGTTTGTTGTACCTAATAAAATTTTGGAGGAACACCACATGCAAAGCCCCTGTATTAGTGTTCTAATATTATGTACTCGTACTTTAGGACTTATCAAGCTTGAATCAACTGTGCTCCCTTTTTCGTATGTGGGGTCAAACATGAATAAGAAACTTGAAGTTGGTGGAAAGTTGGTGAAGGATGTAAAATTTGTTCTAAAATTTATTTGGGCTTATCAAAGCTAGTAGATGACGGGTGTACTTTCAGAACAAGGATCGGGCCACTCATACTTTTCTTCCGCTAATTTCAGTTTAACATCATCTCTTCTGAAAATTAGGTCAGATGTTACCCCCTGATGTGGGCATACTACCATTCCAATTAGGGATAGAATTTGTCAATTAAATAGGGGATGGGCTAAAGTACTTTACCAATTGCTAAAATTAATTTAATGGGAAGTTTAATTTGTATAGGGGTAAGTGTTAAATTCAATTATAAAAAATGGTAATTTAAAATTTAATGACGTTTTTCTTAAAAAGGAAATTAATGATAAATATTTATGACCTCAATTTTTTTTTTGGAAGCCTCATTTTCTCTTCCTTTAACTAATGAATGAATATCAAATTATTTAAAAAAAAAAAAAAAAAAAACTGTGAAACATTTTTGTACTTTTTGAAGTCTTGTAAATAAAACCTTATTGGTCATATGCATTTCTTCCTTGCATATGATGGCGAAGTCTCTCCTTTAACCCTTTCTTGCACTTATGAAACCATGGCATGGTCCCGATTTGTAGCAATCAATCTTTTCACCAGATTAGGTAAGTTAAGTGAATCTCAAGAAATCAGTACAAAAATCATAACTATAATTGTTTTTTAAGGTTAACTTATCACCATATGGAGACTCATCATGTTTTTTTCTCAACGAAGGAAATGAACGATTACTCTCTGATCTCTCGTTAGGATCTTGATTACCCACTGGCCACATAATTACAATCCATGTAGCTCCAATGGCCTGCAGAGCTCAACAGCTCATATTAATAAAATACAATTATTTTATTAATATTTTTAATTTGAATACCACTTTTCTACGTAGAGCAGTTTAGAGTAGACACAAATGCTGACTCTGATGCTATAAGCTTGTCGAAAGTCTTAATAGTGACATATTAGGTAAGGACGATGCCCTTGATGCCTCATTTTCAATACTCGAGACGTGAAAAGTGAGGACACAGTGGAAAAGTCCTCCTAATTAATTGGAATTTTATTTGCTTTATCGTTAGATTCACCAAGTCGTACGAGTTTTTTAGTCTGAGAAATTCTAAAACTTCCAAGCATATAACCATATTTGTTGAAATTTCAGCAGCTATTAATTTAAGAGTAAAGAGGATCATACTCTTTTTCTTAGCAATTTGCATATACGCATCCTCCAATTGTGAGGCCATAGTGTGGTTGGTAGTTGGGATGGGGCCCAACTATAGGTGGCATTTTTTTCTCTCTATAATTCTATGCATATATAGTCCCTTCGCACCATTGAGGTCACAACAAAACACTTGTCCTAAATCTTAACACTTAGTCCTTACCATGGGTTCAAGCGGCGAAACACAGATAACACCAACCAATGTGTCAGATGAAGAGGCAAACCTATTTGCCATGCAACTAGCAAGTGCCTCTGTCCTTCCCATGATTCTGAAATCAGCTATTGAGTTGGATCTATTAGAAATCATAGCCAAGGCTGGCCCTGGTGTTCACCTTTCACCGAATGACATTGCTTCTCAGCTTCCAACAAACAACCCTGACGCACCAATCATGCTTGACCGCATCTTGCGCCTCTTGGCTTGCTATAATATACTCACTCACTCTCTCCGCACTCTCCAAGATGGAAAGGTTGAGAGACTCTATGGTCTCGCCCCTGTTGCTAAGTACTTGGTCAAGAATGAAGATGGTGTCTCTCTTTCTTCTCTCAACCTCATGAATCAAGACAAAATCCTCATGGAAAGCTGGTATTTCTCTCTTTCTCTGTTTTACTTTTTCAAGGACTCCATTATCTAAACTTTAGAAGTGGCTCAATCCGCTAGATGCATATAAATTATAACTTTGTTAATTTTCATCTTTTATGGTTCTTTGTTCTTCTAAGTTAGTAATTTATATTTATGCAAGTTTATTATACGGGAGAAATAGATGGAAGAAAAGAAAGGGAAGGGAGAATAAGGGATGACGAGAAGTTAGTGGAACTCTGTTTATTGAGAGTTAAAATGTTAAAAAAAAAAAAAAATCACTCCCCCCGTTAAACCCGACTAGCGAGTGTGGGATGGAGGAAATCCTTGTACGCAATTTTACCTTTGCATAATTGCAAAGAGACTGTTTCCTGGATTCGAACCCATGATCCTTAAAATATTAAGGAACTATTATAAGTCAAATTATATATAATGACAATGTAAGAATAAATCCTAAAGAAAGTTAGAATGTATATGCAGCCACCACCGACGAAGTAGGTAATGTTATATATATTAAGTGGATTTGATATTATATTTTAACTTTAAGACATTAAATTTATGTACTCTTCGATTTATATGAACTTGGTTTAACTCATTCTCAATCATCAATATGAGACTATCATATGTAAATATTCAAACAGTATCTTTATTCCATTCAGCTTATTGCCATTTTGTTAAAAGGTTGTCTTTGAGTCAGCGAATGATAGAATATATATATAAGGTTAAACATTTTTATAACTATATTTTTTTAACTAATTCTGACCGGTCAAATATAAAAATTATATTTTTTCTTTCCGCCACGTCAGTCAAAAATGTATGAGGAAAGAGAAAATAAAAACAGCTTTATTGTTATAACTATGTCATGTTGGTCAGACTTAATTAAAATGGGATAATTGTGTATAATATTATCTAAAATTGGTGGAGAAATATTTTTTCTTATATATATATATATATATATATAAAGTAGAAAATCTTTCTAAAAAAAAATCACTAATTTCTTTGTATGACCAAACGTAAGATCTATGTAAACATGACCACGAGTTTTGAGACTTGCCTAGATTGACAATTATCATCTCGAGAAAGAATAATTGTTATTATTACTTAAGAGACACAATAATTGTTATTAAAAAGAAAACAATAGGCAACACCTGGATAAGATATGAAAAATAGTTTATTTTTACATGAAATTTTACACCTAGCCTGCACTTATTCATTAAAAAAAATTATTTATTTATTAATTTTATCACATAATTAACAAATTTATATTTTTTAAGCAATAAACAAGTGTTAATTATTAATTAACTTATCATCAATGAGGTGGCGTGAGCGTGAGATTTTGGATGTGAAATAGCACAAATGGTAAGCGTAAGTCAAACCGCTTTAATTATATTGAGGACGATTGTCCACAAACATTGAGCTCAAAAGTGAAAGCCTCAAGTTTTGAAATGATCACCGGGACCCCCCACTAGGAGAGGTCACCATTTCACCTACCACCAATCGACTGTGAACCATTCTTCCTCTAAGCCTTCCAATATCAACAGTAAGACAGATCCTTGTAATACCCAAAATAATACGAAAAGTAAAATGAACAGAAGTATATAAATAATAGATAAATAATAATTATTTAAAGCTCTGTATAAATAATACAGGTTTGTTTATCTTAATTAGGCTATGCATATTAGTTTAGTTATACATAATTTTTAAATTCGTCCAATTTTATTTAAAGGTAAGAAATATGAAATTTCAAAAAAGTAAAATATTAACTTATCATTTAATTGAAATCAAATTAATTATTAATAAAATTTGGATTGTATTTGGATTTTTTATAATTAAAATACATAAAAAAAATAGGGAAAAGAAACTCATATGTGACTAACATTTAAGATTGGATCCACTTGCATGGACTTTATATTATAGTATATAGATAATTAAATGTCTGACATTAATTGAGAGTGGCATCACTACGAAGTACAAAGACTGAAGAAGGGCTCAGGTTGAATGTTATGAAATTCATGTGATTTTGAGCTATAACTTTCTGTAACACAGAAGAAAAAATGGAAAAGATTCTAGACAATTAAGAAGAGAGTTGGAACACAGACACCGTTATGCTTAAATAATTGAACTAAATTCATTAGGTAAACAGTGAAATAAGGGGTTGACTTGATTGAGTTACTGTAGGTACTACTTGAAAGATGCAGTCCTTGAAGGGGGTATTCCATTTAACAAGGCGTATGGAATGACAGCCTTTGAATACCATGGCACAGATCCAAGGTTTAACAAGGTTTTCAACAAGGGGATGTCTGATCACTCTACCATCACAATGAAGAAAATTCTCGAGATATACAAAGGCTTTGAGGGCCTTAAATCTCTTGTTGATGTTGGTGGTGGGACTGGAGCTGTGGTGAACATGATTGTTTCAAAGTATACCAATATAAAGGGCATTAATTTTGATTTGCCACACGTCATTGAAGATGCTCCATCTTATCCAGGTAGGCATTTTTAAGTTTCCATCATGTGTTTAGAGACCCTGCTTGGTTCACCTAGCACTGTCATTTGCTGTATTAGGCTTTATATATTTGAATAGTATTGCTCGGTTGATGGTTACCCCTTCATGTTTCGTGTAGGAGTGGAGCATGTTGGTGGAGACATGTTTGTCAGTGTTCCAAAAGCTGATGCTATTTTTATGAAGGTAAATTTTTTAATGCGAATCCCTTCACTGTTTAGCCTATTATAGAATCTAGATGGGCCCTTTTTTTATGCTCACTCATTGAAGGCAATCAGATGAAAATTTTAGTAAAAAGAAAGTATCACTGAGCCACATTGGTAAAAAGTTTTTTTTTTTCTTTCCTTTTTTTTGTCTGTGTGTAGTAGAAGGTTTTTTTTTTTTTTTTTAATTTTCCAACCGGTTCAACCTTAGACTACATTTGGTTCGAGCACTTATCAAACCCTATTAAAGGGGCATCAGCTCTTTCAAATTCTTTTTTCCATTTTGGACTCGAACTCGAGACTTCTGGTTAAGAAACACAAACTTCTTATCATCTTTGAGTGTTTGGTAGTAGAAGAGCTTTTTGAGTAGACACAAGAAAAGGCACTTTTTGTCACATCCCATATTGTTTGGTGGTATTGCTTTGGCCTTTGGGAGCTCATTTATTATGAGCCGAGCCCTCGTGGACCTTTTCCAAAAATAGAAGGGGAAAAGAATTGGAAGGAGATTTAAATGAAAGAAAGGGATATAAATGGAAGAAAAATTTCCCTTTTTAGTAAAAGACCATCAATTTTTATTGTGCACCTGGAGCACAGTAAAAAAATCCGGCCTTTGGGCGTTCCTCCTTCACATACATAAACAATTGAGATGTTGCATTTAAAATGTGACCAAAACTTGGAGCTCCCAAACTTTGTTCTTGGAAGGGCCCAATAAACCATAGTTAGAACTTATACAATACGGTAACATGTCAATTTATAGTACTTTATACTCCTCTTATGCCATGAGAAATAGCCATCTAGTTTGCTTAGTTAGAACCATAGTTATAATTCATCTTGGATTGGGAACATAGAATCAAGTTTTAGCCTTTATTTTTTGACACCTTAAATCATGTTCCATTTTTTTTTTTTATGGTAATGACGTTAATATCATTTATACATTCAGTGGATTTGTCATGACTGGAGTGATGAGCACTGCTTGAAGTTTTTGAAGAACTGCTACGAGGCACTTCCAGACAATGGGAAGGTGATTGTGGCCGAATGCATTCTACCAGTGGCACCAGACTCTAGCTTGGCCACAAAAGGTGTGGTTCACATTGATGTGATCATGTTGGCTCATAATCCAGGTGGGAAAGAGAGAACAGAGAAAGAGTTTGAGGATTTGGCCAAGGGGGCTGGATTCCAAGGTTTCCGAGTCCTGTGCTGTGCTTTCAACACCTATGTCATGGAATTTCTTAAGAAGGTTTAAGTTTTCTCGGTGTGGATATGATAATGTCAATTGTATTTGGGTTTTGAGATTGTGGTTATGGTACTACTTACAATAACTTTCCCGGAAAAATGTAACTTTCTCTTAATGAAAAAGAATAATGAAAAAGCTCATTGGATTCTGCAGTATATTGAATAACAAGTTTTATATTGTGGATAATAATTTTGAGTTTTCTCTTTATTGTCAAGTCTTTTTCCGTTAATTAACAGGTATTTAGCAATGCAAACGTTTATATACTAATAAATTTCCACTGACCAATAATTTTCTTTGGTGGTAAATTTATCATCTTTCTGAATGAACAGAACGTTATAATGAAGAGATGACACATTAACCCCGGAAAAATGAGGACACAAAAGATAACGAACAACGTTTGCTTTATATCCATATTACAGCAATTCAAGGAATATCATTCTCAGAACCGCTACAATAGAGTTTTAAACTAAAGATACGCTCTTAGACCAAGAAGACAAGAATGAAAAAGCAGAACTAAGAAATTTTTAAAAGTTCAGCATATGAATATTACATGACATTTTTCTCTTCCTACCATAAAGCTACAAGGGCATGATTCTTCTGGGGGGAAATATGTGACTACCTCCACAAGGAGCAAAAGAATAAATATTTCCGTCTAGCAGCTATATCAATTCATGAGAAATTGATGAGTGTCTGACATAAAGTTATGTGACCAACTTAAATTTGCAATAAGCTAATACACTAACAATAAAACGGCAAAAGCAATAGAGAATCGAGAATAATACTATGCTTCGTAGGAATGAGGATAGGATAGGAAGAAGGGAGGAGTGAAATTTGACAATATGTCAAGATATTCTTTTTGTGAAATAAATTGTCATTTTTTTCCTCCCTCCTCTATTATTACTATTTTAATTCTTGTCAATGGCAGCTTAAATTTTATGCGAAAAGTGTATGTCTATTTAAATGACACAAATTTAGGTCTTTTAAAGAGAGAGATAGACACAAAGAGATAGGATCCACACCTTTACTTTTATTTTTGTCTTTATTTTTTTCAGTAAAAATCACATCTCTTTGTGTTGTGTCTATCTCTCTCTTAAAATAACTTAAGTTTATGTCGTTTAAAAGTGCACACATTTTTTCCAAAGTTTATTTGTTCTTGAAAAGTTCCAAACAGTGTTCTTGGTCCAAGTTCCTACTCCAGAACTTCTTATAGTATTCTGCATAAGTAAATCCCCTGTATATGGCTCCAGATCCATCTTCTGTGAGTGGTTTTGCAGGGCTTATCAATGCCTCATCATAGGGGCAAAGAAAAGAAGCCACAGAAAGTCTTGGCTTCTCAGCATTGACAACAGCACGGTGCCAGACACTCTTATAAAGCCCATTACTCAAAGCCTGCATATAATAATATCAAAACGCTTGTTACAACTATAGGCACTTACATATATTCATGGATTGTTAACTAGGGGGCTTTACCCTAATCAACACAAGAGGGCATGGGCCTAAAGGCAACCGCAAGAGTTGGGTGAACTCCGAAGACAATATCCTGCCCAAAGATGAAACCCTCTATCTAATTATATTATGAGTTTTACGAGGGGATGCTCCTAAGTTGAGTTTTCAAATTCAGCTTGCATATTATAAATGTGTTGGTTCAAATTTACATAAATTTTTAGAAGTAAACATTATTTCTAAATTTTTTATTATATATTTAATGTTCGCCCTCATTCCAAATTTATATAAATTTTTAGTTTAAGTATTATTTCTATTTATTTATTTTTTTCATATAAATAAATATAACTTCAAAGAAAAAAATTAAATTATAATTTCGTCCCTAGCTCCGCTATTGGTGTTACCTGCAGTTGATCGCCTATGTTGATGACAAAGGCATCAGGGTGGGGATTAATGGCGACCCACTTGCCATCTTTGAGAACTTGAAGGCCAGCAACATGCAGGTCTTGGAGCAGAATTGTAAGTGCATTTGGGTCTGTGTGCCCTGGCAATCCATAGGTAAGTTCTGGTTCCGGGCATGGTGGATAGAAGTTCACTGCCATGTGCTGCCCTTGTTCTCCTAAAACATTCTTTATGTAATCTTTTTCTAGGCCCAAGCTCTCTGAGATGTATTCTTGTATCCTGAACCCCAATTCCCGAACTTCTTTGCAGTAACTTGTCACGGTTTCCCTGCCAGAGCCAAACCAATTATCACGTAAGATTTGTTAATTATATGATTAGCTTATTTGTTATGCATAACCTTTGGGCAATAATAATTTGAAAATAAAACATTTAAAAATGACTTTTATGTCAAAAATCATCTAACATGACAGGATTAATTGAGTAGAAAGTTGACTCGAAGAAAAGTGTAAAACTAGCCAATTCAAAATTGTTAACTTTCAAATAGATAGTAAGTATTTTACTACTGAATTAAAAATAATTAAATTAATTAAAAATAATCAAAATATCCAAAATAATAATAATTAAATTAACAGTCAAAATAATATTACAAAGCAATGGTATAATTACAAGTTTTTTTAATTTAATGGACTCGTTGCTTTCTACTCGTTCATGATTCAACCTGCCTCATGCTGCCCATAGAAAAAAAAAAATATCAAAGTCATGACAAGTCCTTACCTACTATACCCTGTCTCTTTCCACATTCTGGAATCATTTTCTCTTCATTTCATAAAATTTTCCTAAAGCCTGCTCTATTTTTAGTATCAACAATTTTCAAATCTGTATTGATTTAAACGTAAGAGCGAGTTCAATTATTCAAGATCCTAACATTCGACCTATATTGTGCGTGCACATTTAACTTTCCTTATTATTGATAATTTTTCAATGATAAAGGGAAACACATTGATGGGGCTTTGCCCCTGATTGTACCAAAAAAAAGGGAAACACATTGAGGAGACATCAAGATCAAGGTATGGACATGGAAAATATTTAGAGATCAATCAATTAAAGGTTACGTCAACACGGAAATATCTAGTGACGTCACCACCAAACCTAAGCCCGCATCTGTAATTACCAAAATGTCTAGTCCCTGAGCTGGTATTTTCGTTTTAACAAAATTAAGAGAGAGAGGGCGGGGAGTTCACGTAATCTTTGAAAATAAATATTTAATTTACTTTTATATTTTAATTTTGGTGCACTATTTATTTTATTTATTTATCCTGCCTGTCAGTTTTGTCTTCCTCCTCCTGCACCTAATCTTACCTTAAAAAATTCGAAAAATAAGACTTTTAAAGTCAAGGGTGTTACGTTAGCATTTAAGGATTATTCTCATGTATTTTTTTATTAACTACCGTGATTAGTATTCTGTTTTTTTTTTTCCATCATCATATTTTAACTTCATAAAATTTTCATATAAAAATTAATAATACATAAAACCTAATCCTATAACAAATCGGAACAAATAAGGAAATTATGAAGCATCTTGTTACAATTTATTTTAAAGTCTTTTTCTGATAGTTGATTTTCGTCCTACCGAGTTTTTTACTTTGAGGTTAATGTTTTTTATTTCTTATACACACATAAAAGTATACGAAACTTACTTTTCTTTTTCTCTCTCTTCTCTTCACTTGGATTCCATATATTTTTATTTATATACATGAAATAAATTTATTTCCTATAACATATAAAATATTAAACTCTAATTACTTTTTGTGCAAATTGCAAAAGCTCTTGTGCAAATGAAAATATCTTTAGAATTACGAATGTACTGAATTTTCAGTGCATCTTACACTCACAATATAATATGTGTTTTATTTTTTATCAAATCATTCATAAATAATTTATTTTAAAATCAAGTGAAAGAGTTATTTGTGATAACTGATAAGTAAAACACATGTCATATTATAGAAAAGCTAAATGAATTTTCTCTGCAAACATTCTAGAAGAGCTACAACGCACATGGTTATACTTTTTCAAGGATTTGAACGAGAAAAGTTGGACCGGGAAGGTTAAATCAATGTACTGCTTGTAGTGTACAGTATTGATAGAAAATATGAAAACTAATTTTATAAATTTTTATTTACAAACTATGCTATATATATTTGACCGGTCATATTTCAATTAAAAAAATTTAATCGATTATATTTGGTGTAATTTATAAAAAAAATTTATAAACAGATTTTTCTCTTAAATTTATTTATGTGAAATTATTTTTCTAATAAAGTTATTTTCAACAATTCCGAAATTATACTGTTTCAAGAATTGAGAGAATTAATAAAGAATATTATAAAAAAATTGATTATTTATTTATTATATAAATTTTGAGTTTGTTTTTTCTGATGTTACTTTAGATAACTTTATCTAATGTTCATCAAAATAACGTCGTTTTGGGACGGAAATCATAATATTTTTGTAATTTTAATTTATTTCAGGGTTATAATTGTCTTTATCACTCTAATTTTTAATTTTCCAACCCCAAATCGACGTCGTTTTCATGAACATTAGATAAAGTTATCTAAAGTAACATCGAAAACTTTTTTCCAATAAATTTTATCAAAAGAACCTTCATTATTTTTTTGACTCTCAAAATGATATAATTTTGAAATTATTAGAGATAACTTTATCTCCAATAACATTTTTATTATTTATTGCACATGTGACCTTCATAGGACCCCAGTACTCTGTTACGAAAATTACTACGAAAGAAAATATAATAAATAGTGTGAAATTGATAGACGAACGTGCATAATTAACAAGCCTATGCACGTTATTATTTATAAAGTAATTTATTGTATAGAAATATTGTTTTTATGCTTAATTTCTTTTTTTATTAGGTACTCTAATAGACAAAACTGTAAGATTAATCTGTCTAATAATCAGAATGAAGCATATCAATGATTTTATTATATTTTTATTTATAAAATAGAGTAATAATAATTGAACTCTAAACCACTTAATTATAGACTCTAATATCATGTCAAGGAGCAAATAAATTCTCTGAAAAATTTAAGGTGTGGAGTGAAAGTATAATAATTCTATTATATCACTTCATACATAGACTCTTGAACTCTTAATTTTTTTAAATAAATAGTCTATTTTTATGCATTAACAAATGAAAAAGAAAATGAAGTGAGGTAAAATAATCATTAAGTTTTCTCCTCTCTCTCTCTCTTTTCTAATAAAAATTATAAAACATAATAATAATAATAATAAATAGGTGAAACTGTAATATATTTGTTTTATTAATGTTAGTAACATAATTTAAGTGTTGTTTTCAACACACACAATAAAAGGAAGAGAGAAAGTGAAATGATGAAAGAGAAAGAAAAACATGTGGACCATACCTCTTTAATGTGTGTAAGAAAGTGAGGTTATATTATGTTACGTGATAAACATAAAATCCTTGTTTTATCTTATGATGAAGTAAGAGAGGCATCATATATATTGCATCATAATTTATGTTAATAAAAAAGAATGTCTCGAGTAAGTATAAAACTGTCAGATTGCAAGTTGTCCACTCACGGTCACGGATGTATGGCTGAGAGAAAGAGGACTTACTTGAATGAGGGAGGATTAGAGGGCCATTCAGGAGCATACTTGTCTAAAGGATAACAATGAAGTCTAAGGTAGTCTCTCCAATTACGAACCTTCTCTTTGTTCACATTAAAACTAGTTGACAATCTCATTGTCTTTGAAGGATCATCTGAATACAACTTCAGCTTCTCCTCCACTGGCAACTTGAAAAACTCACATGCCACCTCTGCCATTTCCTTCATTCCTTCTACGGGCACCCCGTGATTTATTACCTGTTTAATTAAAAAACAATTATTTAATTTCCAAAACATAAGTAATTAAAAAATTGAGAAAAATAAAAAATAAAAAATGTTGAAACATGGGTCAGGTCAGGTGACACAGGACCTGGAAAAAGCCATAACCCCTGCAGGCTTCACCGATTTGCTGCACAATCTGTGTTCTGTTGTGACAACCTATGTCGATAATAGCAACATCTTTACACTCCGACACTTCTGAAAGACGAGGTCGCTCGGATTCGGGTCGGATATATGACTCTGGCAAATTTGAGTACTGGATTCCGGAGGAAAGCACCTTTGTGTCCATTATTTTAAACCTTAAAAGCTAGTTTCGGAAAATACAAAGAAAGAACCTTAAAAAAGAAAAAAGAAAAAGAAACTGAAAATACACTACTTTTGTAGTTGGGAAGCGAGGACCAAGCACAAGCACAAGCACAAGCAGTTTCCAGGAAGGTGAGTCTACTGAGTAGTAGTAACATGGTAACGCATTTATTTATATATTAAAGCGGGGGAGGTCCATCAGTCTTATTTTATGTTGACTGAGTTTTCTGCACTGTTAAGTTATTACTTATTAGGATTGGTTCTGTAAAAATTTGTATTAAATTATGTGTTTAATTCTGACTTACGTATTTAAAAAAAAATTGTGCACAAGTTGCCGCAATCTTATTGGTTCGTCATTCTCTATGAATACAAAAATTTCTTCACTGCCCAAACCAAGGTCTGAGACTATTCTCTGTGTAGAGATGTAAACAGGTTAGGTTAAGTTAAACTTTGACTTAAATAGATTAAGTTTGTATAAAAAAAATGGATATGACCTGACCTATTAACTTGTGTAAGCTTCAAATTATAAGTTTGACCTGACCTATATTCAAAAAATAAAAGTCTTCACCTAGGTCTGTTAACATTCAATAATTAAATGAATAACTAAAATAATATTATTTTTTATTTAAAATTATTAAATAATAATTTTAATTATTATATTTTAAATAATAATATAATATAAACCGGCCTGTAGGCTTATAGGCCCGACATGTACAAAAAAAACTTATAGCCTGTTTTCTAAATATATTTTTTTTAAAGTCTAGACCTATTCTATTTTACTACTTATAGTAGGTTAAGTCTGACCTAATATAGGCTAGTCATAGGCCGGCCTAACCCATTTACTCTCGTACTCCTTCCCCTAAATATTTAAAGACTGTATGTTCTTTCCTTTATCAATAGTTTATTATCATAAAGTCAAATTTATAAGCTATTTAAATATTTTGTTTAGTTTGTAATAATAAGTTGTTTTTAGTTTTTTTTTCCTATTTATCAAATAAATATTTAAGGAGAGATTATATTTTTTATTATCTTTTACTATCAAATCTGAATCATTAATTTTTCTGAGTCTAACAGTTATAATTTATTGAGTTATACTAATTAATTAATTATTAATTTATAATAAATTATAATCATTAAATTGACAAAAATCAACTATTAAGATTTGGTAATAAAGATAATAAAAAAAAATATGTATAACATCTCCAAAAATTTAAACATAAAAAAGAATAAAAACGAAATAATTTTTTATAGTTACTAATAGAAAATAAAAAATAATTTCACAAACTAAACGTGCGCATGGGAATTCCCTTCTTTATAAAAGTGCATAATTATGAATATCGTATGTTGCGATATTGTCCACGTGTAGGGGAAAAATTTCAATACCACCATCGAAGATACATCCGACCAATAGGAGCGTGTCCCGTCAACTACCTTTGTATTTTACAGTGTGTTACCTATAAGATATTGGGTAAAATATACTGTGGTATCCATATGCAATACTATTGACACGCTTTTTTTTTTTTTTAATTTTGTGTATCGAATGCGGTCAATATTTTGGAATACGTAATCAATTCTTTGACATGTATTCATATAATTTTTGACACACAGTTAATTTTTTTGACATGTGGTCAATGCTCTGACACATTTTTTTTAAGTGTGAATTTATTTTATTAATTAAAAATTGAAAAAAATTTATAAATCAATTTTTTTCTGTTATGAAATTTGACATGAAAAATTAACAAGGTACGAAAAATTATTATTTTTTATATTTATGTTATGAAATTTGAATATTTGATTGGTTATATGACTGGTTATGGACTATTATATGTATTAAATATAAATTACATTACATATATTAAAATTTTTATTTAATATCAAAACGTGTTTAAATATGTCAAAATATGTCATTTTTTAAAATTAATGTGTCAGTGTGTCCTGTCGTGTCCCGTACCAGTCTCCTAGCATCATAGGTATCCACTTTTCATTTTTCAATACCACCGTCTATCCAAAAAAACATTCCACGTGTAGTTGATGTCGGTAGAATGCAATGTTGTGACTCCAGACGAAGTCAACAATACCCTTGAGCGATAATGCATTTTCTTAATTTTTACACGTAATTTATAAAATTGTTATTACTGGGGGTATGTAAATATCACATGAAGCCATGTTACCAAAAAAAAAAATATCACATGAAGCCCAAAATAGGGGACATTTTTACGGAAGGGTTAAGCAAGAAATTCAAATCCCAATAGGTAGACTTAAAACAACTCAAAATTTCAAGATAGCGAGTTAACGAGTTTTTTTTTTATCTATATGATCCTTATATAGTTTATTTATAATAAATGTGACACTTTATTAGTCATTAGTCACACTTAAATTATGAGTTATGTTTTTCTCATTTTACATGATATAAATAATTTTTCTACACACATAAAAAGAAGTTGGATCCCACCACTCTTTTTTCTCTCTCCTCTTAACTGTGAGTCTCACTTAACTTATACTTTTATTTCTACAACATGAGATAACTTTTATCCTACAATATAAGAAAAATATATCCCTTAAATTATTTAGTTTTCCCTAAAGTGTGGGACCTAACACGGTATACATGGAGTTACAAATTAAGACCCTAATCATAACCTATGATACACCGACACTGACTCGGGACAAGACACGTCGACACGTTAAACGTTGGGACACATTTTGATATTAAACAATATTTTTAATATATATAATATAATTTATATTTAATACATATAATAACCTATAATAAGTCATATAAACAATCAAATATTCAAATTTCATAACATAAATATAAACAAAAATAATTTTTCGTACCTTGTTAATTTTTCATGTCAAATTTCATAACAGAAAAAATTGATTTATAAATTATTTTTTTATGTTTAGTTAATAAAATAAAATAGGATACAAAAAATTAAATAAATAAATAAAATTTAGTCCTAAAAAAAATATGTCGCATCGTTGACCGCGTGTCGAAAAAAGTTGACTGCGTATCGGAACGTGTCAGAGCGTTGATCGCGTGTCTCTAAAAATTGACCACGTGTCAGACACATGTTGGAACATGTCGATGTCTGACACGCACAAATTTTAAAAAAGTGTGTGTCAGTGCTTGTTAGGTCATAACTCTATAACATGAGTATAACAAACCCAACCCTAAATACCAACAACTATTGGCTCTTTATACCATTAATGGGTCAAGGGAGTGCTCAGTGCCCACAGTATAAGAGACTTCTGTCAATTGGTTAAGCGATAAATCACGATAAGTAAATTTAATATCAAGCTCCACACATAAGGAGGATATTATTGAAAATTTAAGTGATGGATAACGATGTCTCACAGTTTAAAATGGGTTGAGCAAAAACCATTTAAGTGAAAAGATTAGACTCATTATATTAAGATTTTTGGTTCAAATATGATGTCAAGTATATATTATGATTTGAATTTGTCCAATTCAACTTAAGAACTTAAGCTTAATGGTTTTTATATAATATCTATTACCTCTAATTCAAAAGAGAAATTTTTTGAAGATTTTAGCTAGTGTAGAGTGAGCTTCAATCGATAAAAATAGTGGCAGAGCTAGCAAACTATTTTAGTCAATGCCAAAATTTTTAGTTGGTGTCAAAATAGATACGGTTATATAGCTATGCCCAAAACATGATTAATTTTCAAAAATTTGAAACATAATTTGCTATGTTTATTTACCTGCACTTAAAACGGGGCTAAATTAACCTGTATTAAGATACAGGTTCCTCCATTAGATACAAAGGACGTATGTGTTTCTAAAAGAGCATGACAGAAAAGAGATATTCTTTCGAAACACACATACTAGTTGAATCTGTCAGCAAGCGATATACTTCCCAATAGCAGAGTTAGCTCTTGAAAATGTACTCCATAAATATCGTCAATCACGCTACAGCCAATTAATCACAAACCCTCTTTGATCGATCAAAATCACTGTTGAATAATTAACACGGATCAATGATATTGATTTATAGGAAAAAGTTTTTCTCATAAATTCTATCCAAAAATTATCATTATCTTATTTTATTTTTTTAATTAATTCAACGCTAATTAACATTTTGAGACGAATTGATTCTTCATATATTCTCATAAATTTTGATTCTTTAAACTAACTATGAGACTAATTTAAAATACGGAAAGAATCAAGATAAAAATATTTAAACTCTTCTAAAAAAATATGATATAAAAATTAAATCAATATTTTTCTTTTTCACTTATTGAACTCCCGCCACTTAACTCTATCATTACTTTTTTTCTTCTCTTTTCGTTGTCATCTTTTTTGGTCTTGGTTGTCTCTAGATCTCTGTGAATGTGTATATTACTTTAAATTCCTGTTCCGAAAGTAGGTAGGTATTCATGCGGTTCGAAACCTTTTTCATTGAATGTGGTGCCCCTGGCAGAGACAAAATTAGGACATAGTTATTTTTTTAGAGTAAATACTCGTTTTTGATCTTCAGCAAATTTCGCAATGTCCGCTTTAGTCCTTAGCAAATAAAAAAGTTATTCATGATTCTTAAGAAATTTAAAATGGACTCATTTAATTGAAATCATTGTCCCTCATAAATTCAAAAAAAATCCATATTAGTCCCTCAAAAGGACTAAAATGGATCCATTTTAAATTTTTTAAGGACCACGAATAACCTTCTTATTTGCTAGAGACTCGTGAAATTTGCTGAGGACCGTAAAAGATATTTACTCTTTTTTTTAAAAAGGAAGTGGACACAGAACTAAACCATTTTAATTTCTCAAAGTTAATGTTTTTTTTTTTTTTACATATTTCCATAACATCACTTTTTTTAGCAATATAAATATATTTAATACTTTTTTTCATTTTAAATCAAAAAGTGTACAAATGATATAGCTTTTTTTTTTTGGTACAAATGATATAGCATTTTAAATGTATAATAACGTTACCTTCTACAACATGCTACTTTGAAAGCAGATAAATTTAAGTATGCTCTGGACGTCATAATACAGCCAAGCATCTCAGGTCGAGTTTACAGTATATTAACTGGGTAATCACAGTAGCAATCCACTGATACTGCGTCCATCTTTGTATTCAACAAAGCGCATACTTTAGGCCGAGAT